GGGTACACTGGGAAGTGGGTAGACTTTGATAGTCAAGTCGAGGATGATCCCGAAGAGACCCCCCGCGCCACGAATCCCCTGGAGGGTGGGCTCATCAGCGGAGATGATCTCGCCCTCGGGGTTGACGATCGTGGCAGCGAGGATCTGATCAACGCCGAGACCCCAGTGGGAGGAGAACGCGCCATAACCGCCATAGGTGGCCCAGCCGATATAGCCTACATCGGGGATGGCGCCAGTAGGGGTCCCCAATCCCTCGACCCAGAGCTTGCTGGCCAGTTCGTGCTGGAGGATGCCGCCCTGGACGGTGGCGGATTGGCGATCAGCAGCGACGGTGACGGCGGTGAGGGCGCGGAGGTCAATGAGAAGAGCGCCATCGTGGACGGACAGACCTTCGAGGTTATGGCCACCCGAGCGGACAGAGAAAGGGAGGGCATGGGCTTTGGCGTATTTCACCAGGGCAGCCACGTCGGCGGGGGTTTGCGGATGGGCAATGGCCAGCGGCTGGGCGCGGCGGCCCGCGTGGAAGATCTGGCGGGCGGCGGGGAAGTCGGGCGAGGTGGGGGGAGTGAGGCGGATGGTGGGGTGGGAGGCCACAAAGGCCTCGAGGGCGGTCAATTGGGTGGTGCTAGCCATGGTGGATGAAAGTGGATTGGAGAAGTGGTGGTTGGAAGAGAGGGCGTGTCTTTGCTTTATAGGCAGGGAGTGAAGTCAGATTGAGGGCATGGAGCGGGGATTGGACCCGGCGATGCATCGCTGCTGACGCTGACTAGAGTTGACAAGGCTGTCGATGGATCTTGGGTCGGGCGCTTGTTCCGGCCACTGGTCCACGTTAAGTTCTGGTCTGCTTACTAGGGGTAGAACCTGGCCATAGGGTCGTGGTGTCCCCTGTCAGCCCAGCCCCTGCGCTGTCAGCACTAAACGGCCCCGTCCCCGCCATTATAAATCACCGGTATCAGCCTTGACTCTACGGGAAGATGTTCTCCCGATCGTAGATCCCTGGCGCTGTTATAGTCAGGCCATATTTTGTCCAGAGATGCGCTTACATCGAGTACTTGGTTTTTTGCGTGGCTGGTCAGACACGAGCCACTCTAGGCGGATCCTAGGGTTACCGCCAGTAGCCCCAACCCTAAGCCACTCTCTTCAGGACGGAATATCACGGCTTGGTCAGCCATGGGGAATAGGAGAAATTGACAGTTATATATCCCGGTCATTCCGACATATGAAATAGAATATCTCCATCTAATTAAGGGAGCGGATAGTATTTATCGGACGTCTACTCAATCGGTTGGCGTTCCCCCTATACTGGCAATCGGCCAGGACACCTCGATGATGGACAGGTTGGATCCTTCCGGTTGGACAACTCCTTCCCATTGAAATCGCGGGTCAGCTTTGGCTAGGAGCAGCTTCCAATCATCCGTATCTCTCTCGTGCGAATGGAACAAGCTCAGCATGTTCATATCCATCGTCCTATTGGTGATCGTTAGCTCCCACAATGTAAAATGGAAACTAAAAGAAAAGAAAAGAAGGGAAAGGGAAAGGAACAGTCATCGAAGGTACATGGCACATACCGAATCTGCTTCTCCTCGAACAAGCCCACCGTCCCTGGCTCCGGCAGACAGTATTCATTCAACACCACCCTCGCGCCAGGCTTGAGCGCAGGAATCAGCGCCCGCAAAATGCGGATGCAGTCGGCATCTCCGAAATCGTGAAGGACCATGCGCAAAAAATACACATCCGCCCCGTGGATTGGCTGCGGGGCGAAGAAATCGTGTGTGATGCGCTTGACTCGCGGCGTCTCCCCATCCCCCAGCAACTGTTCCGTTCCAGTGGTTTCGGCCGTGTCCTGGACAACAAAGTCCAGCTGGGGAAATCGTTCCGCCAAAGCGACCGAGACATACCCGGTTGATCCCCCAACATCGACCACTGTCCCAGCACCCAACGCCTGCCAAGGATAGCCGTCACAGAGATGACGCACGTCATGCTCGGGCCCGCTGCTGTAGGCGGACATGGCCGAGGCAAACTTGCGCGCCCGCTCCGGATGGGCCCTCAGATAGTCGAAGAAGACCGGATGTCCGGGCTGGGAGAGGGAGAAGCCCGCGTGCGCTCGGTTCTCGGAGCCGGGCCATTTCCTCATAGCAGGGACTGTCTAAGAAGCATCAGTAAATCCGATCCACAGAGTAAAGCCATTGCACTGACCTGTTGCATTGCGGGGAAAATTTCTCGATAGCAGACATCCATGTAGTCCCGCACGACCTCATCGTCCGCCAGCATCTTCGATGCCGCTGTATGCCGGACGATGCCTTTGGGGTCCTCTCGAAAGATGCCCTCGGTAGCGGCGTGTCGCACTATGCGACGGACATCACGCTCGGGGAGGCCACACACCTGGGCGATCTCCGCAAACGTTGCAGTGGCCCCGACGGGGAATGACCGGGCCAGGTCAAACTCGCAGACAGCATGAATGGTTCCCTGGTTGTTTCGCTAGCCGGCCTTCGTTCTTAGTATCACGTTAAAGTTGACCTGGGGGTGACATACCGCCCAGAGGAAGAGGGCCTCCTTCGGACCCAATACCAGTTGCTGGAGTTCCATGGTGGCGTCCAACAACTCCTGTCGCAGACGTTTTAACTCTGCAGGCAGCCCTTCCATCGAGTCATCTTCCATTGAAGGGACCTGGTGATAACTGTCCTTGAAGTCACTGATTTGCTGGGTATGGGCGCCAATCACCTGGCCCAGATGGGCAATTCTAGCCTCGGACATAGTGGAGGGCAATGCTGCTCTAGATTCGATGGGGAAACCGGGAATAGAAGGGCACTGCCAGGCTTTTCTGCCACGGGGCACTGAAAGAGATGGATGCATATCCCTTCTGCCGGCAGTATTCCGAAGAAGAGCGGCCGAGGGCTGGAAACCAGTCTCCACACGGTCAGAAAATAGTGCCACAGGACCAAAAGCTTAACAATACGGATCCATTGCGCATACATCGCTGTCGGCGAAATCCGTCTGAAGATGTCATCCATGATGCGGAATAAAATGAAAGGAACCCAAATTCCGGAATTGTCCGGAGATTCCGGCGTATCAGGGTAATCAGGGAACAGAAAGGGTTTCTTTCTTGGGGCTCTTACCCGGGGCTAAGATAAACTGAGAAAGTCACAATTAGACTCCACTCGGGGCCGTAAGAAACCCTTGTCTTCTATAGTCCTGGATGGCGCGGCAAGCAATAATCTGCTGGTAGTCGGCTGCACGATCCCGGGCACTGCGTCAGCCGTCAGCACTACTTGCAGCCAAGCCTTGGTTAATACTTCTCGAGTTCAATCGTCAGGAGCTCCCATTGGAATCATCTGGCTTGGCCAAGTGAGTAGTAGTCCTCTGTAATGACATTTGCCGAGCCAGTCGTGCTTGGTAATACTAGTGGAGAAGCCCGACGTGGTGCTGCTGGGGGCCAAATATGCGCTGGATATGAAATGTTGCATGCATCGGCAGCACAGCGTTACATCGATCGAGGACAATCGGGTGAGTCAATTCCGTTCCACCGAAGTAAACAATGGGTATGCTACTTTCACAATCTTAACAGCAAGTTCCTATTGTGTCCACGCGGCCTATGCTGTCGCCATCCTAGCTTGCATATCGAGACTCGAGAAGTGACTTTCTATCTCAAGCGACCCTGATCTCCTTGTACATCATGGCCAAAAACAGAGAGACTTACCATTTGGCACCCGGGTACGATGCCGAGGACCCATTCCGGAGAGATGAACCCATTCAAAGCTCGTCTCGGACCACAACCTGGCTCAGGCTACATTATACCTTCCTAGCCATTGCCTACCTGGTCCTGATGCTGCTCTACCTCAGCCTGATCGGAAAGCTTTACCCCTTCCATTCATCCTCTCCCCTCTGTGCTTCCAAACCTTCACTTTCCAATGCATTCCCTTCACTACACGCTGCTGGCGCACTCGAATACGAGACTCGAACATGGCCAGTCAGCATTCACAACAACCCCTTCGCCGGGAAGCCCCGCCCAGAGCTCGAAGAGGCCTGGCACCACCTATTCGAAAAGAACAATATCCGCGTGCACAAAGAAGACCTCGACTTCTACAACGTGACTTCGTTGCCAATAACCGAGTCCACCGACAACGACACCGACTGGGTAGGCCAGATGGGCGTCTTTCACGAACTGCATTGCCTAAAGCGCGTTCGACACTGGATCTACCGGGATCACTACCTTGCAGATGCACCAGAGACGGTCTTGATTGAAGAGGAGGCTCATGTGGATCACTGTATGGAATTACTGCGTGAAGCTATCATCTGTCGGGGGGATCCGACCTTGAGTGGCTTCCGGTGGATTGGGCCCGATGAGGGAGGGGAGGGGTATCATCTTACGGTGGAAGCGCCGGGGTATCATACTTGTGTGAACTGGGAGAAACTGCGGGCATGGAATGATGAGAGGGCGATTGATGCGTTTGAGCCGGGGGTGCTCGTTGGTCCTAACTTATAGCATACCATGTTTTGAGGAGAGTCGATGCACATTCAGTCAACAACGGTGATAGACTATCTAACTATACTTGGCACTCATCAAACATCATTCGACCAATTCTCCTCCGCCCATCTCTTCACACTATCTAGATCACGACACGTCCGAGTAAACCCCCAGCCCGTAACCCCCTTCAGATCCTTCGTCACCGGCTCCAGATTGGTATCAGCCGAGCACATGAGACTCTGTCGCAGATAATCAAAGCAGTGTCGGACATGATGTGGATCCGTCTGGTGATCGTGTTCTTCCGTCATATGAGACAGTCGGCCGTCCACGGCAGCATAGTAAACCTCGCGGAGAGCATTCAAACAATGAAGTCCGTGGTACACCACGAGACCGGAAGTTTCAGGGGCGATGGTAGAGTGCTTGACGAAGCCCTTGCCCGTGGGGAAGAGGGATTCCCATGCCGCATTGCTCTCCGGCGAGGGATGGAGGGTGAAGGTGCTGTTGTATTCCATGAAGACCTGGATGTTTCCTTCGGGGGCTGCAACTATCAGCTGAGTATCTATCGGGAAGACATAGGGGGGGGGGGGGGGGCAAGATGTCGTACCCAAGAGACCGCTCTGTCTGGCCGGGATATTCTTACCCGCCGCAAGCCCCAGCACGAAGATAAGGACTCCGGCTAGGACTGCAAAGGCAACAGTCCACCAGGGACGGGATTGAGCCGGATGGGATTGATGGGACTCTCTGAGGAAGTCATCTTCGTCAATCATAAGAGGCTCATTGGGTTTTGATGTGATTTCAAAAGACATAGTGACAGCTCAGATAACGTGGAGGTCTACACGGAAGACAGTGGTAGGCAGAGGTCCTGGCCACAGATCGAAGGGGTACGAGGAAGGCCCGGTCACTGGCCTCCCTGTCAGTGGGCAAGAAGAGGAATACCCTTCCCGTGCCCAGCCAGCCCGATCCCCTCCAAGGGTCGCATCATTCTCACCATGTTATCCCTTGTCACCCGACACGCCAGCTGAATACCCGATGTAACCGTCCATTGTTGGGCCAGACCATGGCACTCCCATCAAGAGGCACGGCATTGGCACAGATTGGGCCCCAAACCATGTCACTGACGCCATCTCCAACCGACCGTAAGCCCTAACGTGTCCTGAAGGATCCTATGCATCCGACACATTGCGGAATTCTCCATCTGTATCCCTATTCGCTGCGCCGGTTAGACGTCTCTCCTCGGAAAACACCCGACGAGCAGGGCAATTGGGGGCAGAAAAGACGATTCCAGTCCACTGCCGATCCATCCACTAGTGCGGGGCCGGCGGTTCTTAAATTGAAGTCACTCTCGCTGCCTATCTTGTCTTCAACTTGACAAAATCTCAATTTCATCTTATCAATTTACGGTCCCTATTAGTCTTCGATTCGACTTGAAAATGCGTTTCACCACTGTGTTGTGTGCCTGCCTGGCCGGTCTCACTTTGACCGGTGCTGCACCAGTTGACAGCGGTAAGTCGAGATGTACTGTGTCTTGTGGTGGAACTGGCTGACCAGGTCTCCAGCATCCTCTCGGCGCGATGTCACTGATGGTGATGACAAGGTGGCCTACACCTGGGCTGTGCCGGAAGTCCGGAAGCGTGAGGACGGTGATGACAAGGTGGCTTACACTTGGGCTGTTCCAGCGCACAAGCGCGACGATGGCGATGATAAGGTGGCGTACACCTGGGCTGTTCCTGAAAAGCGCGGAGATGGCGATGACAAGGTGGCTTATACTTGGGCTGTTCCTGGGGCGAAGCAATAGGTTACTCGACTCAGGTCTGCCAGTGGTGTTACAGAGAGAAGTGAACAAGGGATGGAAATATAGGGCACGGGCTGAGCTACATTCCTTCTGTAATGATGACTCTTGAATGCAATTCTTGCCAAATATTTAGTAATATTGTATTTGCCCTCCAGACTTACCCGAGAATTAGCTGGTCCCGGATAAATAAATATAGCCTGGATAGTATCTACCATCCTTAGCACGCCCCCCCGTACTGCCAGGCATTTCGCCTATCCTACACCAATGCTTATCCTGCATGTTTGACAGCTGAAATCAAAAGGACAACGCTCCTGACGATGTCCATTCATCTCCCCACTCTTCGCCCCACGAATAAGCACTAATGTAGCAACACTCCTTCCCAGGACGAAACGACGAATAAGAAGCCCCGCAACTCATATCCCAGCTATTAGTACTGCCTCGATACCTCCTTGCATAGCATCCTCCATGATATTGACCAATCAAACCAGCAAGCGGAATGTGAAGGATCAGAACCCTATTTACCTCATGGCGGAAGACCTACAGTTAGCGTGGGCTCATTAGAGGCCAACGACGCATCGTCGAAACCTTGTCGGTGAATAAGCCAACAGGGCGGTCTGCTTAGTCGGTATGGTCATTGGCTGTCTCGCATAGATAGATCCTTGATGGCGGTCAGGTTGGACTTCCCAGTCTGTTATCCATTCAGACGGGGATTTGCCTGAAACTTCAGCGTGGCTTGGAGGTGTACTATCCAATTTCCCCGATCCTTTCGGAACCTTCTGGGTACCATTGATAAGTGTTTGTGACTGAGCTGTATTATTGCGCAATAACATGGAACCCTCCAACTATCCAATGACATGGGGATTTGCATTATGCGCACTCGTATGATGCAGTGCTAATACAGGTTCAGTATCCTCATGCACTTGCTCCATTCTTAGCCACCATCCTTTGTCTGGTCGAGCAATTAGATGAGAAAGGTAAGGACTCCTTCTTCCCAGTCCCGGCTCCATTTTGGAGGACTTGAGTGGTAATTTACTTCATTCCGGACCCCAACGGTGGCTGCTAATTGTCGATATGCTTTTAGGTCATTTGGCTTCCAAGCAGGCGCTTCCAATGGGATCCTGTGAACTAACATGCTTCTCAACATAGAAATACTCATGTGAATGTCCGATCACGCGGGCCTGAGCCTGAGCTCTCCCTTCATTTGCATCGTATGGTGTCTTTGCTGCTGCGTACGATCATCCTCGGCATTCCAACTAGTAAAACATATGTGATACGAAGAATTCAGCAACCCTTCCGCTGATGCGGTGTTTTAATAATGACATATCCTTCACAAATGGGCAGATCAGGCAGTCGTATAAATTGACTCCTGTGCGGTAGTCATGCTCAAAACATCGGGGTTCGCATTTACGATTACCATGGGTTGGTAGATTCCCATTTCTGGCGGTCTGTCGGATGCATTCAGGGCTTTTCGGTCTCACCAATTGCAGGCGGTTCTCACTGGACTATATGCTGCTGTCGAGGTTGCTCCAGATAGTACGACATATGCCCTCCAAGGCCCCCGTAGAAATCCCGACCAGAGACACCCCCGGTCACAGGAGAGACTGGACTGGTCAGTATGGTCACTGTTGTGCCTACGTCACTAACGGCACTGCTATTTTCCGTCTCACTTGCTTCTGTGGAGCCTTTGCTGGTGGGATTCCCTGAAAGGTTAATTGCCGCGCAGATCCACCATTGACCCTGGAGCCGAAGCTGATCGGCAGGAGGCCACGCCAGCTTCCCCATCAACCTTGAAGGCCATGCACACAGCCTCCACCCCAGCCTCGCACAACCGGCAAGAGTGATAGTCTTTTGATGTGGCTGGACCTGTCGCTTTCCGCCACATCCTGCGGTCCAGAACGGCAACGACCGTGTTATGCCTTGGTGACTGCTAGGGTCCAGCAGTATGACGTGCTATTTTGCAAGTGTCGGTTCCAGATCACTGCATTCACAGTCCGATTGATCAACCTGTGCGGTCTGTTGCCTCTGCTCACCCTGCCATAGCGCTTGACCTCATACTCCGGTTAGCGGATAACTTCCCTGGACTCGTTCACTCGGCTCAACGCTGCCACATCGGATGCATGGAAACGCTAAATGTGGCAGACTTGATGATCCTTCGACTAATTACCCTACCAAACCATCCCAGACCCACGGCGACAGCCCTGCAAATGCCATTGAGCTTGGAAATGTGGGCACCCTTGGGTAATAATGACCATTCGACCGATAGAAAGTTCGCTTGAGCCGAGGTCTGGCCCAGGCACGGGGAAGATGCTGCACTCTGATTCGACTGGGGAGATGATCGTCCAACCTCAATGACTTGATTGGATAGAGATTATCGATCTGATAATCCTAGACACTGCTCAAAGGTGGCTGGAATGCCGATCAACACAAGCTGTCTTCGGATCCACCGCAGGTGCCGGTCACAGCGTGTCAATGGACCAGGTGCTGCAGTTTCAGAAACACTGTGGCTGGGCACTGATGGCGAGAAGCCATCTTCTTTGCCATCAACTGTGACTTCATGACCTGTTGCCATGTGCAGAATGGCAGTCATCACACGCCCTCAAACACACTCAGCTCGTCCTACTCTGGCTTCGAAGCGGGAACACGCCAACGATGCCGAGGATACAGATAAATTGGACTGAGAACGAGCCGACCATGTTGATCACTCCACTCGGCAGCCGAAGACCTCGAGTGGTCTAACCTGGCCAGTGACCTCAATGGTTCCCAATGTGCCGACGTCGGAGACAACCTCTAACCTTCTCACTTTCTCCCTTTGAGACGATCATGCTCAACTGTTGGGTGGCAGGAAGAGTTCTTCCATGGTATGCCTGAGCATTATAAAAACCCGTCTCTTCCCGTCCTTCGATGATATCCTCCACACATCAATCCAATTGCGCACTTGAATCCAGCTTTAGAAGCCCCAATCTCATATATTCAGAATGAAGTTCTCCGGAGTTGTCCTGACCAGTCTCATCGGCTGCGTCGCTGCCCTACCTCCCGCGCCCTTCTTCAGCGGCCCTCCTCCTGCGCCCTCTGGCTCGGTTATCCCTGACTTTTCCTTCCCACCTTCATCCAGCTCGGTCAGTGGTGCTGCCCCATCTGTAGCCCCCGAAGGCTATCAGAAGCGTCAATTTGGAACACCACCGCAGTCCGCCCCCGCCCCTCCTCCCTCTGGCTCTCTTGGTCCCGCTCCCTCCGATGGCCCTGAAGGATTCGGCAGACGTCAGCTCGGAGGCTCTTTCAGCTCTGCCCCCGCCCCTACTCCCTCTGCCGTCCCCGAGGGCTTCCCAGAACATCAGTTTGAAGGACCTGCCGAGTCCGCCCCGGCTGGTGCTTCCTCCGGCACCCCTATTCCCGTGCCGTCTGACGGCCCCAACGGCTTCCCCAGACGCCAGCTCGGAGGTCCATCCGAGTCTGCGCCCGCGGCAGCTCCCTCTGGTGCACCAGGCCCTGCACCCTCCGGTGGACCCGAAAGCTTCCCCAAACGCCAGGTCGGATCTCCTGCAGAGGGACCCGAGCAGGGACAGCAAGGCCAGGCACCTCCTGCTCCCAGCGGCCTTCCTTCGGGCTTCCCGTCCGCGGCACCATCGGGCACTTTCGAACAGCGCCCAGTTCGGGGAATTCCCGGCTCCTTCTCCTACCCCTAGCGGTGCGGTTGGTGGCTTCTAAATAGTGTCACCGAGGGGATATGAACTGGTTAGACAGACAACGCGTGGGGCATGATTGTCGATTGATATCCAATGACTTCCCGCACATTGCCTAGTTCCACGATGTCTGTCTGGTCAAATGGAGGCAGTATTTGGATGACAAATGTACTCGGACGGCTGAGTAACTTTGGAGAATTCATTTTTTTAATTCTTCAGCTGTATGCGTTGATGTCGTTCGTTTATAAAATTGTGTATTTAAGAGGTGATAAATGTATATATCCGGACTAACTTGACTGATTGAATGGTTCTTGTCTAATCCACGAATATCCCCCCCCCCAAGGGGCCATTCTCGAGTCACTGAGGGCCATATATTATCGTATACTCGATTGCCCATGTAGTAACAGCTTATATCTATATTTTCAGTCCATTAGTACCCACATCTATCAGATTTGTGTAATAAGAAGTATAAGATGTTGAGACATTCTACCTTCTACACCCGGTGTCAGAAGGGATATATTCCTTTTAGTGGACGTGGTGCTTCACATAAGATCAAATGTGAAAGATGATATGGAAGTTTCCTACAATGTCAGATTATTATATCTTGCTAGGCCTCGAAGGGGCGCACAAGTGGGCCCTATTACACTATAGATTTGAAGAACTTCGAGATTCGATTCCAAAATCGTTTTCTTGATCAAATAGTAAAGTCACTTAGGGGCTGATAGAGAAAAGAATAGTACAGAGCAGGGTAGCCGAAAGATTAATAGGACGCGTGAATAGTTAAGAAGGACAACTGTACTAGACAACTAACCAACTAACTGATTAGAGACTCACACATGCAAATTGCCAAACTACCGACTAATCGGAGATCCCAGAACGTCCCAGAATCCGACCTGCAGCTAATTAGGGACAGAGCCTGACAGGTACTGACATACAGGTGCCAAACCGACAAGCATATAAATGCCTGCCACTCGGCTCTCTAACCCAACCACCAACCCACCCATCCAGACCAATATCCCGACTCACCCGATTACACGACGATCAATTGTCAATCCATCTAGGTCCAACGCATCATAGAGGGCCATCATCTCGCATAGAAGCATTGACATGTGATCGGCCTCTTGGCTGTAACTTGTGCCGCCGATCGTTCGTCTCTACTTGTATACGACTAGCCCGGAACGCGAGTCCGTGCGGGGAAGGAGCCAGTCGTTGCAGCAGTTACCTTGTTTAAAGGTAAGTATTTGCGATTGACAAGGATTCGGAACAGAGCATCCCTGCACCGGCACTTGACACGTATCGCCGCACTGATAGTATGGTGCTTGTGCAGGAGCTCCACGAACGCTATCTATGGGTGGACCGTCTTTGCCTCATCCAAGATAATCTCTCAAAGCATGACGGCATTCGGAATATGGGGTCGATCTACTCCCACGCACTTTTGACCATCATCGCACTCAGCGGGGAGGATGCCAATCACGGTTTACCAGGCGTCTTTCCTGGTTCTCGGCCGCCGCAAATGATCCAACGAGTCAAGGGAGTCCACTTGATGCCCGCACTTCCAGATCTTCAATATGCCCTGGAAGCCTCCCTCCATACCACCCGTGGATGGACGTTCCCAGAAGTTCTACTCTCTTCTAGACGCCTCTTTGTGTCCGATCGACAGGTATATTTCAATTGTCAAAAGGGAATCGTTCGCGGCGAGGATTCCTGCCAGGAGCACGACCCCTCTTTCGAAGCAGTGTACGGGCTAGCAAGTCAGTCAGGACTCTATGGGGGTCTGGTCAAGAGCTATACCCGGCGCAGCTTAACTTACGACACTGATATTGTAGATGCATTTTCCGGCATATCATCCTTGCTGTCTCGCGAGGATCAGATGAATCGCCGGGGGGAGCTCGCTGCGGGCCTTCCTTTGCTCAACTTTCTTCCGCACCTTCTTTGGGTCCCTGAGAATTCTCTGGTCCGAAGGCCGCCGAGAACCAGCGACCAGCTTGAAGATCACTTTCCCAGCTGGTCTTGGATAGGCTGGAGAGGTCCCGTATCTTACGAGCTTCTTCGATTAACTTCAACCATTCCCAGGCGGCCACTCAAAAGCTTCCTTGCTCCATGCCCGATGAAGTATATACAACCAAATGGGACCCAAGCAATTGTATATCAGCCGGACCAAGGGGCCGAAAGAAACCGGTGCTCGTGTACGACCTGGAAACGCATCAACCATGATCCTCACGCAGGCATGCCTACCAGCTTGGATGAACTGGCAGACCCTATCGTCACTCACCTGAGAGGACGGCATATACTTCGATTTCGTACTCTCACTCTTCCAGCGGCTTCCTTCTCCTGCATGGAAGAAGAAGACGATGGTGACGGTGAAGATGCCTCGGACTGTCCCCGTCTCCTCTACCACGGCCAAGTATGCGGAAGCATTATCGGCCAGCCCTCTGCCGACGTGGCTAGTAATTTACCCCGATATAAGTGGATTCTTCTGTGTTATGTCCAGGGTCTCGTTTTCATTATCTTCGACCTCATGAGGATGCGGGGAATTGACCATGATTCGGAAAATCCAGAGTCCTGTCGCTGCGTGTTATTCTTTCTACTTGTTGAGCCCCGGGAAGGACTCTGGGAGCGAGTGGCATTGGCTATTATGAATCCGGGGGTTTTTGAGGGCACGAATTTCCAGTGGGAGGATATTCAATTGGCCTAATCTGAACAGATCTCGACACTCATGCCTACCTTCATACCAGCAGCATTCCTTGTGGCGATAATCCTGGCAGTCCATTCTGGCTACATATTCCCAGTCTACCATTTTCTCACGGCTATACCCCAACCAGACCACCCAACCCTCATCATCTTCCTCTCTTCCATAAACTCCCATCTCCCTTCTCCCTGAGCAAGCCTCCATCCCTCACCTCCCATCCCAAACCACTGACTCACCAACAACCGCCAAGCCCCTTCTTCACCGGGCGATATTTCCATGACCACATTCTTTCCCCACCGGGCCTAGTGTCCCCATCCGGGATCGGATTCATCATCCCCACCAGGTAGCCTTACGACGCCATTTCCCACACCACTAATCAATATTGTCAATCTCGGTCTAAAATACGTAATACCGTGAATAATGCCGGTGCTACACCCACGTGTCTCATTGGGCGGATAGGTAGGTGGTAGGTGGTAGGTGGGTACTAGGTGATGCCATCTAATCTAATCGAGCGCTATCGCCATCGCTGTCTATCTATCCGTGATTCAATCGTCACGGAAATCCGGATATTCGGATCGGATGTTCGCGCCTCCGAAGCGCCGGTGTAGTTATTCGGGTGAACGATTATGCTAATTGGGACTAGGGGTGGGGATAGAGCTTGTTTAGGGATGGTGCTAATGGAATTATGCTGCAAGGCTGCATAAATCAAAAAATATACGGAGTATCTGTCGGGGATTATTTCTTATCGATAACTAGGTATTTTTTATGGCTTGGACTATTGGCTTGGCGGGAGGTTAGTACTTTCTATACGAAGCGGTGGGACTATGATTATAGTTTGGGGACTAGGGGTATAGTATGCTCCGTCTATAGGCTTTATAGGTATCGGTCGGGAATAGTTCGGACAGTAGTCGTATTAGAGTGCCCGAATGTCCGACCGTGTGGAGTACCGGACTACCGAGTATTTGGATCGGAATCTGTAACAAACAACGTCCATTCCATCTATCATCTATCATCCAATCCAATCCATCTATCGTCTATAAACATCAAAGAGGAAATCAGGAAAATCAATCAAACATCGCAATCTATCACATCCAACCGAAAGCATAGCACCAAGTACCAGCTCACACGCATCTAAGGTCGCCAACTCGCACGGGATAATCACTGACTCGCAGCATAATCCTTCAGAATGGCATCCGAAATCTTCAACGCCATGGCATAAAACACCGTCATGACGTGCGAAGACACCTGGGTGGGAGGAATCGACCCATCAATGACACGGAGGCTATCCACGCCATACACACGGGCCGAAGAGTCCACCACCCCGCCCAGCTCCTTCGGCATCATGGAGCAAGTACCCACGCCGTGGTAGTTAGGGCGGAAGTTGTACCGGACGTAGTCGGCCCAGTCGCTCAGATCGGCATCGTACGCGAGGTTGTCCCCCGGGACGGTCTCCCCGGCAAAGTACGCCGACATGGCGTCCGAGTTGGACAGGTTCCGGGCGAGCTGGGAGGCAGCAGCCTGGCCGTACAGGTCGAGCTCGTTGAGGAAGTACTGGGGATCGTAGGCGAAGAGACGGAGGTAGGGGTCCGGGTCGGTGATGTGGACGTAGCCGCGGGTGAAGGGGATCAGGTCCCAGATGGTGAAGCTGACGGCGCCGGCGGTGTCGAGGAAGAGCTCGGAGTAGGCGACGTTGTGGTTGACGAGCCAGTCACGGTAGTTCTCGTACTGGATCAGCAGGGCGGTGGTGTTGTGGAACCCGCCGCGGGCGACGGTCTCTTCGGCCCATTGCGCGAGCTTGGAGTTGAGTAGCTGGTGCGCCTGAGGAGCGTAGTCGCCAAAGGTCTCGTTGAAGGTGGCAAAGAAGGCGGCCTGGCCTTGACCGGCACCGGCGGAGGTGATGCGGGAGCTGACGGCGACGGTGGTTTGATCCTGCAGGTTGAGACCGACAGGGAGCTCAACGACAGTGTCGATGCCCACGGAGTCCAGGACGGACTTGAGACCGATACCGGAATGTTCGAGGATGGTGGGCGAGACGGCCGAGCCGGCCGCCAGGAGGACCTCGTGTTTGGCATAGACGTTGAAGGTGGTATCGCGGTGGGTGCCGAATTCGACCCCGATGGCGCGAGGGACAGTGGCCTTCTGGTCGAGGAGCACCTTGCCAACCAACTGGCCGGTCAGGACTTGCAGGTTCGGCCGCTGGTAGTTAGGAAGGAGCCATTCGCGAGCGGCATCGGAGCGGACTTGGTCCTCGTGCAGGGTGTTGGGGAACATGGACACGCCATGGGGGTCACCACAGCCGAGATCCTTCTTGGTGGGCACGCCTCTCTTCTCGACGGTGGTCATGAGGGCCTCGATGATGGGAGTGTAGTCATCGCCCGTGTCGCGAGGGCCAACATGAACGGTTCCGTTGGTGCCATGGCAGGACTCGTCGAAGTAATGGCCCGCAGCAATCTGCTTCGCGTTGGGGGCGCGAGCGAGCTCTGCCTCGAGGGAATAGGCGGCGACGGTGTCCCAGTTCCAGCCCTCGTTGCCAAAGACCGTCTCCCAGGAGTCGACCTGCACTTTGTGGGGGCGCGTCCAGGTGCCACCATTGACCAGAGTAGAGCCACCCAGTCCATTGCCGGACCGGATCAGCTCCGTGAGGTTGTTGGTGGCCAGCTCCACCGTCTGGTAGGCGTGGTCCACATTGGAGCCGAAGATCTCACCGTAGGTGTTGAGATCCTCGATGATTGGGCCCCGGTCAGACTCGTAGAATCCGCTCTCGATGACCAGGACAGTGATGTTCGGGTTCTCCGTCAGACGGGCCGCGGTGGTCAAGCCTGTCAGACCTCCACCGGCAATGATGTAGTCGACAGTGCGTCCGGCGACATCCTTGGGATCGGTCAGAAGGCTGGCTTCAATGCCACTGCTCCTGATGTAGTGTGGCAGGGCAGTGGCCACGGAGATCACGAGCGAGCTGGAGAGAAAGGTCTTCATGATGGAAGAGTGGGAGTGGAGAGAATGAGAGATGCGCTGCCTGCTGAGCTGGAGTTCCTGGACGACGGATGAATCTTATATACCTGCGCATCACGGTCCAGAACCTCATTGTACAATAATCCATTCTGATATCTCACAGCCATCCTGATATCTTGACTGATAGGGGCCAAGCTGAATCCTCGTCTGCGCTGGACGAGACCGTCGGGATCCCGAAGTCAGCCTGTCATAGATCCAATCCTGCATGAGTGGAGCGAAGGATTGGCATCCTGGGCATGTGTACTGCCTAGCCATGCATGTCGTGCTCGCACGCCTCGTGCCTCGTTGGCTCGACGATAGCTAAGAATTGACGCTGGGCCTGGCTGCATGCAGGCAGAAGTCTATACGAACCCCGGCGCACATCATCTGGGCGCCAAGGATCCCGAGAATCGGCATGCCGAACCCTGTAATCCTGCACTACCCAATTCGTATTCCGGTCAGCCCTCGCCAAGTGGGTAAACCTTAAGGTCCTCGTGGGATCCTTGGGTGTCCAGGGGCAGATCCCAATATGCTTCCTTGGCGGGGGTTGGCCGATCGAGCACATGAGCACCTTTGCGGGTGTTGACAGGTCTTCTCCCGCCGTCACCCTCCAGTTCCAGGTACTGGTTGTTCAAACTAGCAACTCTTCAGACCTCTGCAGAGTCCCGTGCACAGTATGATCTGCGGACCGTCGCCCGAACCGTGGTTAGTCGACTGAATCCCGGCATGTGGGCCAGTCCGATGGAGCCGAGCATAAAGCATTGGCGCCCAGAAACGCCGTCGCAAACTATGGCTGACAACCCCCGGTGGCGAGCCAATAGCAGCTGCAGACTGGGGAGCCTGCATCCGTGAAGGAACAGTTGTCTCACTCTACCAGCGGGCCAAGTGATAGTCATATTAGTCCGATGCAGGACAAATGCCAAGGGGCCAAAAGGCACTTAAGGGCCCTCCCTGCTTATCACACCCTCGGTTCTGGAACTTCCCTGCTTGCAAATCATCTCCTTTACCAATCCCGCCCCGGCCAGACTTCTCTGCCACTCTGCCTTGACAAATCCACCCCCCATTTTTAAGCTTGGTTGAGAGTACTTGGGTCACTTATCAACTCTCGTTCGTGCTGGAAGATCCCCACTAGCACCATGAGACTCAGCCTCGTCCCCCTCCTTTTTGGAGCGACTTCGGTCGCCTCCAGACTCTATGCGGCGTCGTACGCCGGCACGGTCACCACCTTGTCCCTGTCTCAATCGCGAGGCCAGTATGAGCTGGACACCATTGCTCAGTCCACGGACTGTGGTGTCAACCCCTCCTGGTTGATGCTGGACAGCGAACACCGTGTCCTGTACTGCCTGGATGAGGCTGTCGACTACACCAACGGTACCTTGACCTCGTTGGCCATCGGGGCCAATGGCACCTTGACCCGCATTGTGCAGCGCGAGACGCTTGCTGGCCCCGTCATGTCGCAGTTCTACTCCGCTCCGGGCCTTCCGAACCGCAAGTTCTTCGCCGTCGCTCACTAGTACGTGCCATGCAGCTAGTACTTGATACCATCTGTTAATCCGCACTCACAGCTCAGGATCCGCCGTCACGACTTACTCCCTGGACCCCATCACGGGTGTCTTCAATCGCTCCCAGACCTTTACCTACACTCTTGCCCAGCCGGGCCCCAATGCTGACAGACAGGATGCGCCCCATTCCCATGGCGTAATTGTCGACCCCACCGGAAAGTTCGTGCTAGTGCCCGATCTGGGTGCTGACCTCGTTCGTGTCTTCCATGTCAATCCTGCCACAGGGCTGCTGGAGCCGCAGAATCCTCTGGTTGCGACCCCTGGCTCTGGGCCCCGCCACGGTGTGTTCTGGACTCCCAAGGAAGCTGCGGTCGGTCACAAGGAGACCCTTTTTTACCTGGTGTCGGAACTGAGCAACGGTCTCACCGGCTACCGGGTCTCGTATCCCAACGGAACCATCTCTTTCAGCGAGTTCTACACCACCAACTCTTATGGCGGAGCAGTGGCCCCTAATGCCTCCAAGGTCGCCGAGATTGCCATCTCGGTAAGCCTTTCTTCCTTATAACCAAAGGAGACACAGCGTCAACTAACGTATCATGTAGCCGCAAAACAACCGCATCGTGCTGAGCAACCGGGGTGACAACACCTTCGGAGTTAACAACGACTCCATGGCTGTCTTCGGCTGCGCTGACGCCACCGGAAACATTCCCACCAACATCACCTTCCACGGACTGTATCCCGCCTACGGATCCTATCCCCGCCAGTTCGAGATGTCTGCGAAGAACGAGATGATCGCGGAGGCTCTGCAGGAATCCCACGCCGTGGTGGTGACGGGATGGAACAGCACGACCGGAAAGCCCGGATCGCTTCTGGCCAGGAAGTCTCTGGTGGGTGAGGTGGTGTCTGTGGTCTGGGATACTTTGTAATTCCAGGGCTGTGCGAGTAGTCTTGGCTGCCAGGATCGCTCTGTCTCAGAGCGGGCCTAGCTAGACTGTAGATCATGTCTCATTATCAGTAGAGGGAAGGCTGAGACGCTTCCGTTGTGACTATGCCACATTATGTCATTCTTTTTAGAGTTAGTGAATTAGTGAATGAGACGAATTACGTTAAGTGCCATGTCTGAAGACGCGTCGCCCAAGGCTTGAAGATCATCCTCTAGCCCACCCAACTGCTCGGTCAGAAGGACGATTCTAAATCGGGTAGCTGCGTATCCAACCTCGCCCAGGCTTAAACCTAAAATAATAAGAACCCATGTCTTACGGGACGCAGGGTGAGACACTGTGCAATCGGCTTGCTTTTCGCAAGGCCTTGTTCATACTACCTCCGTCAGACAGGTCGATTGAGGTCCAGTAACTGAGTAAATAGTTCAACGCGCATTATCGTCTGGCATCTCTTCGAGCAATGTGTCTGAAGCTAATACTCCGTATCTAAAATCTGATTGCCTTCAAAGTATATTGAGTGTCAAGCCTTAGAAGTACCTGAAAGACGGAATAAGAAGGGACGATGGATGATGATCAGGAACCCGCTGGAAGGAGCAAGCATAACAGCACGAAAGACATCTGAGTGAACGAGCAAGCATTCGATCTCATCAACAACACATTCTCTTATCCCCGTCTCGTTCTACTCTAGCCATCTTTCCGGCAAATCTGCCAGTATCCATTTTTACCATCTTGATTACAGTACCCCTTTAGATAGACATATAGCGAAGAAAAGCCGTTCTCCCGCCTTACTTCCATCAAAGTTGTATCAGTGCTTGATCCTTATGGCGCACAATTTTCGCCATATCAAACGGCTCGACTCCACGGTGCATACATTGTCCGAAATCGGGGTCCCCGACAGACCGTTGGTGAGACATATCTGGATCCACATCCAACTCCAACCATACACCTGCCAAAGGTGTCAAGACCCCCGGACGAAAGTATGGGACAATGCGGACAATCGTATCATCCGCAGAACCATCACACGGCTCTTTTCCATCCTGGCCACTTGGGAGCCAGCGGAGGAGGGGTTGACCCTGGAGCTCAGCGCCCATTCCATCAGCGACTCGCAACATTGGTTCCGCGACCATTATTTTGGAGGTGATGAGGACCGAGATCTCGATATTCGCTTCGAAACCCATGAAAGGAGCACCAATCCCGGCTTCGGTCATGCAGTAAACCACGGTTGGCGGCATACCCAACAGGTGGAGTTTCCGGGCAAAAATGCGTTGTGCCGACTGTACGGGTCGTCTGCGTTGAAATTCAACAAGAACCTCCCCCTCGTGCCCGCTGTCACCCGGTTTGTCCTCCGTCGACAATGCCGTGGTCGGCTGTTGCCCGGTCCGGTATCCACTCTTTTGTGCAAGTTCCCTCGGCTGGAGTCTGTGGTGTATGAACCATGGCGGATGAGGGATATGGACGAGCAGACACGGCAGGATGATGGCAAGCAATCCGAGATCTGTGGCTACGAGGAGAGGTTTCTAACCATTCATGTAGATTGTCAGGATTTAGTGGAGACACGCCTACCACCAACCGTCCGGGGACTTTCTCTTTTCGAAGACTATACTGAAGACTATGCGCACTTGTTCTCGCCAGAGTTTCGTGCCCGGGCGGCGAACCCGGTCGTTGGCGCGGCCTTTGCGAGGCGAAGCCTCCACCTGGAACAACTGTTCGTCTCCTTCGTGATTGACGCCCAGCACTTCTTCGACGCATGCCAGTCTGACTGGACTTGGAACCACCTGCAGACCGTGGTGCTGACGTCGCGCCTCCTGCACCCGTCCACACCCCAGGAAGACATCAATGCGTTGTTACGACAGGCGGCGGACGTAGCGTCTCGGATGCCCCGGCTCCAAACCATGGCTCTGTGGAACTATGTAGGTGGACACGGTGCGGTGTTCAAATATGCTAGCGATGTTCCTTCCATCACCTGGCGGGGCACGTGGAAGATCGCGCTGGAGCTTCCCGTCCGCCTGACTTGGGAGAGGACCGTCGCTCAAAGGACTCGCGGTGAACTCGTATCGATAGCTCAATCGGTGTGGCTTGATTTTGCCTTTGTTCCCTCCCGTGGGGATATCATCAAATGCTTGGAGTTGCCCGAGGGCGTGCTGGATCCTGAATCCTTGCAGCAGATGCGGAGGGAAGGGAGCAGTTGGCGAGCACTGAATCTCGGCCATTAACCATCAGTCTCGAGGATATCCGCATAGCGGTTCAAGGAGCGGCCGATCAGATTGACCAGTTGCCAGATGTAATCTGCGGTGAAGAGTCGGGCCCAGAGGCGGGTGACGGTGGCACTGAGGCGGGTGTTGTTAGCTAGCAGCCATTCACGCGTGACGCCATGTTGGGCCTCCATGACCATTTCGAGGACAAATTCCAGGAGTTTGCTTTCTTGTTCGGTCAGACTCGGCTGGGGGTCGGGGACGGTAGCCACCTCGAGCCATTTGGCCAGTAAGACGGCGCATTCCAGGGAACAGAGTGCGTATTGGTTCGACCACGAGACGACGAGGGTGCGCGCCACGTAGTTGATGCCCAGTTTGATCGGTGTGCTGAGGGCATGCGCACAATGCAACGCCGCTCTTGTCAGTCGATCACTCCGCTGCACGGCGAGATTCTTCTTCAACGAGCGCGCCACCTCATCCGGATTCCACGTATCCAACCGCCGCGCGGAACTAAAATCCACATTCAGCCGGATATACGCCAACCGCAGCAACGCCGTAGAGGTAAACGACAAGGGCCCATGAGGATTAAACGGATCAATGGAGGACTCCTGATTATGTTCCCAACACTGACACCAATGTTCCAGGGCCTGTTCGAGGGAGGTAATGACCGACGGGGACAAAAAGCTCCCATTCGAGACCGGCAAGCGCGTGGCCTTCTGAATCAACCAGATATTCTGAATCATGGCATGAATGATGACATAGCCCCCCATGGACGAGAAACTCTCCAACCGAGACTTCCCCGCGGCTGTCGACATCTGCGCATGACAAAACAACCCCCCCAACGCATCCTGCAACTTGGGCTCCCCACCCCTCAACCCCCGCTCCTGCGCCCACAACTCCGCCGTCCCCGCCGTCCACTCCTTCTCGGTACAGGGTAAATCCAACGCCAACTCCTCCGTCAAAATCAAGGGCGGAATATCAAACACGATGGTATGCACACTAAAGAAACAAAACACGATAAGTTTGGTGCGTTTGACCATTTCACTCCGGATCCAACTTTCCCAGGATCCGTCTTGGATAGGGAGATCGTTCAGACCGCTTTGGCGGAGGAGGGTTTCCATAAAGCTCCGGATGTAGAGGGCTTCGTGGTGCGGGGGGTCGCGTTCGAACCAGCAGGAGACGGAGATGAGGAGGAGGAGGGCTTGGATGGTTTCGATGATGTTTTTTCCCTTTTCTTTTTCGGTTTCGGTTGTGGTGGGGTCCGTGGCCGTGGGGATGGTATCAGGGAATTGGGGGACGGGGGTAGTGCACCCCCATTGGAGTTCGCGACGGATATGTTCGAGGGTGACGGCTTTGGCGGTCTTGTAGAGGGTCATGCTGGTTTCGGGTTCACGGCAGTATTGCGCGCCCACGGCGGCCATGGCGAAGATGAGGTGGACGGGGAGGCTGTCGATGTCGAGGGTGGGGAGGTGCATGAAGGGGTAGTGGCAGTGAAAGTTGGTGAGGTAGCCGCCGAGGAAGCGGGAGAGGGCGTGGCGGGAGGGCGTGTAGGGGTGGGAGATGACGTTGGAATAGGACGAGAGGGTGGCGATGATGCGGTCGCGACAGTGGGGGGTGACGGCGATGGGGGCGGCGGGGGGACGGGGTCGGTGGGTGGTGATGGTGGTGAGGTTGGTGGTTGGGTCGGGGTGGAGGGAGGGGAGTTGGGTGCCGTGGCGGGGGAGGACGGAGCTGGAGGGGGTGGTGCTGGTGCTGGTGCTGGTGGTGGGTTGGGTGTAGTCGGATGTAGTAGTGTCGAAGTGGAAGGGGGGAAATAAGGGGAGGGGCTGGTAGGTAGGCGAGTAGGGATGGCTGGGGAGGGGGATGCTATCGAGAAAGGTGGTGAAGTCGTCGCCATCGTAGCTGGGTGGGGGGTATGGCACGAATGGTTCGGGGAAGGGTGGTCGGGGTGCCAGATGGGTGGTCGGGATGTCTGGGGGAAATGAAGCATCCGGGGTAGATAGTACAGGCTGTCCTGGCGACGTGGGGTGGTCGGTGACAGCAGATGCCAGGACATTGAGGCCATCAAAGACTGGTGCCGATGGCGACGCTGGACCCGGGGTAGCCGTATGTGTGAGGCGTTCATGACGCGCCAGGAGGTCTCTACAATCCCTTAGTCAATACGAACAGCCCATCTAGCAGATACGTACTTCCGCGTAAACGACTTGGGACATTGTGTGCAAATATAGGGCTTCTCCTTGGTATCTGCATGGGTCAGCCTGTACTCCGTATCATCTCCAATCTGGAGCACCTACGCGACCGGTCATGCCGTTGGAGATGTTCCAACCGGGCAAATGTCCGGGAACACCGCTGGCACTGATACTGTTTCGAGGGTTTCACCATCACGAGGGAGAATGATGCGGAGGGCAGTCCGACGCGAGAGGTGGTGCAGCACTGCAGACGGTGGGTGGTCGTGGCGGAAAAAGATCGCCAAGCCTCGGGAAGAAAGCCGAGGTTGTGCCCGCCCGGCCGCATTGGGGATCATGGCCCGCTCTGGTCTGGTTTTATACTTACTACGGTGTAGTACTATGTAGTATTCGCTTCGATCGGACGGAATGCCTCTAGTATACTTTGTATCCCTTTCTTAGTCGCTTGTAGGTTGGTAACTACTCGGCCGAAAAGGTGGTGAGGTGCGGAAATATATCTTAGCTACCCGATGTTACTCGTGTCATCCATGTGTGGGAACATCTGGAGTCTCCCATTTCTCCATGCTGGCTCCTTCAAGTATTGATACGATTTGTTTGGGTGGAGCGTATATCTCTATCAAATTACCTCCCAAGGATCACTGGCTGGATCATGTCCTTGACCTAGGTTGTGTTTCTCAATATCCCATAATATTGACCCGATAACCATATCGGGATACAACACGAGTAGTAAAATCGGTGTGTAAGAGTCCTTTGAATACAAGCATGCCATCCTGGCTACGACACTGCACACTGTTCAACAGCCAGTAATCTCCGGCGACATATAGCACCCGCGGAAAGCGCTCAGGGTCACGCTGGTACCAGTCTACCACGACAGTGACCGCTGCTGCATATCCCCGCCGTGAAGGCGTGTGATGGACTCGAGAGGCTCGCGAGATGCCGACTGAATCCTGATTCGTTATGACAGACAGGGTACTCAAATGCACGGATGCCAGACACGCGACACGAAGTCGATTCGATGCGTCAGCTGTTCGTGCAGCAGCCGTAGCATCGGAGTTGGACCCTGTCTCCCCGAGACGATAAGCGCTAGGGTCGGGACCTATGACTATGCCATCAGTGCTCATTAGCAATGGCACGGATGCATGACAGGGTAGAACCAGGATGTACTGTACTATGTATAGGGTTCCCCAATCCCCAGTCTTTCCATCGGGGCTGCATCGGCAACGGCAGCGTGGCGATGAGTCAGGCTTCTCCGAATTGGAGAAACCGCAGTGGGGAATCCACCCGGTTTTTTCACGCCAATTTTTGGCCCGTCGGTGCGTCAGCTGTACACAATATGGATGGAATGTAGGAACCTCAGGGGTAATTCAGTCAACGTTCATCGCTTTCATCATCCGGAGTAGAGTTCGCAAACTTCACATTAAACCGAGCCACTGGGTTATGCCGAGCGGCAACTGTATCCATCGGCACAGAAGGCATGGGGTCGCGAATCAGCCAAATCCTTCGTGATAAGGATCCGACTTCTCCAATTTTCTTCGGCACGAGTCCCGCTCATCATGTTGGGTCGCATCTTTATAAAGCGCACTGTCCTGCGCCTAATGGCGGCCCAGACCCTGTCATTCAGTCTTTCCACGAACAGCCTGGCGAATGCATCCCCACGAGGCCTCCCCGAGTGAATCGGGCTCCGCTGATACAGTCTGCCTGCCCGAGTTGGACCGCCCCATCGACCCCGTCTTGAGTGCCGAGAAGGATGCCGCCGCCCAAGAGATCGAATACCTCTACCTCGAGCTGGAGACACCACTCCCGACCCCGTTGATCACTGCGCCCCCAGGCCCCGGCCAATCGCCCCCTCCGGATGCCCCGAGTCTCGAAGAATACACCTCCCCGTTCCTCTGGCCCAAATGGCGCAAGTGGATGATGACCTGGATCGCGTGCGGAGTCACAGCCTTGGCCGGTTACTCGGCGGGGGAAGTCAACCCGGCTGCGACAGAGTTGACGGCGGAGTGGGGGATCAGTTCGGTGGTCTACAATCTGAGCATCACGATTTTCTGTGTTGGGTTTGCGCTGGCCCCGATGGTTCTGGCGCCGTTCTCGGAGATCAATGGACGCCGGCCGATTTTTGTCGCCAGTGGTTTCGTCTTTACGGGTATGATATGATGCCTGGCCTACGAAGCGATGGAGCTGACCGAATAGGGTGTATTATTGCTTGTGGAGGAACCCATGTTTTCGCGGGCTTGTTGATTGCGCGGTTGTTTCAGGGCGTGGGTGCTTGTATGTAGGGTTCCTGTTCTTGCTGGGTCCACAGCTAACCGAGCAGCGACTTTCTCGACCATGGTGGGCGGGGTCATCAGTGATATCTTCCATGCCGAGGATCGCAACACTCCCATGGCTTTGTTCTCCGGCGCAGCGCTGTTTGGTACCGGATTGGCTCCGATGATCTCCAGTGTTATTGTGGCTCACACCTCCTGGCGCTGGGTGTATTACTCGCACGCCATCGTGTCGGCTGTGTTTGTGGCAGTCATCTACTTCTTCTTCAAGGAGACGCGAGGCAGCGTCTTGTTGAGTCGCAAAGCACACGCCGTGAACAAGTATTACGAGCAGCTGGAGGCAGCGGGCCACTTTGGCGTCATTCTAGGCGAGACGAACGAGGTCCGACGGATCCGATGGAAGGTGCAGAGTGACGAACAGCGCGAGTCTCTGGTGCAGATGATCAGCATCTCCTGCTACCGTCCTTTCCGTACGTTCCATTTTCCCACACCTACTGTAAATGCATACTGACAAACCCAGACATGCTTGTCACCGAGCCCGTGGTCTTCTTCTTCTCCCTCTGGGTCTCCTTCAGCTGGGCCGTACTCTACCTCCAATTCGGCTCCATCCCGCTGGTCTTCCGAACCAACCACCACTTTACCACCGAGCAAACCGGCGCCGTCTTCACCGGTATGCCCCCCTTTCCTCCACCAAGATCTAACTAACAACCCCAGCAATGTGCGTCGGCTCCATCATCATCACCCTCGTGAGCATCTACCAAGACAAACTCGCCAACCGATACGGTCTGCTACCCAAGAAACCCGAAGCGCGACTCTACTTCGTGTGCATCGAAGCGATCCTGATGCCGATTGGATTGTTCTGGTTCGGCTGGACCTCCTACTCCTCCGTGCCATGGATCGTTCCCACCATAGCCATCGCGTGTGCCACCATGGGTATTTTCGCGGTATACCTAGCCGTATTTAATTATCTCGCTGATACGTATCATCGATATGCCAGTTCAGCAATCGCAGCGCAGTCGTGCTGTATGCATCCCATCCCACCCTTCTTATCAAGAAACCACTAATCCACTGGTATAGGCCGAAACCTCCTCGGCGGTGTCTTCCCACTCGTCACCAACGCCATGTTTACGAACCTAGGGTATCCGGGGGCTTCCAGTCTACTGGGTGGAATTGTATGTGGCTTGCTTCTATAGGTGTGAAGATACTAACAATATGGATAGGGCCTGCTTTTGACCCTTGTGCCGTGGATTCTGGTCTTCTATGGAAGTCAGATTCGGGCCAAGAGTAAGCTTGCTAGTGTAAGTTTTCCTTTCCCCCCCCCCCTATGAATTATGGGATTGTACTAACGTGAGTAGGAGCTTGCTCGGTAATACGATGTTAACAGATGTTAACAATCGTTTAAACAAATCTAGATGATAGATGATAGATGATGCATGGCTAAAAGTTAGAACGTATATAATATTAATAGACAGTGCATATATTTTAGATTAGTTGTATGAGAGGATGTAGGCTTTCTCTCTTCGGAGTTATATCTTGAATACCGGTTTTGCATCTGACATGGTGCCACGAGATCAACAATATGATTGCTGCAGTCAGGGCTGAACTAACGCAAGACGCATTGACTCCCGATAAACTAACCCATATTAACTACACAACATCTGCTGTGTCACCATGTATTGTTCCGCTGCATATCCTTACCGAATAGGGTAGAGCCTAGAACACTGCTGGCTGTCGCTTATTCGCTTCCCCCAAAAGATGTCCCCAGACCACCAACTCGCGAGAACAATCTGCCCGATCAACAGAACATTCAATCAACGTCGGACCGCGTCGATTGACCCGCCCCTGCTCAATTGCCTGCTGCAATTGCCCCGCCGTGGTCACCTTGTACCCGCGTCCATACCCATCATCACTGTTCAGCGCATCCAAAAACATCGTATAATCCCAGTTCTTGATATTGTTCACGATCCCATCCCCAATCTCCACATCCACCGTATACCCCCGATTATTGACCACAAACAGTGACACCGGCATCTGATACCGCGTCATCTGACTGACCTCCTGCGCCGTCATTTGAAATGCCCCATCACCGACGAGAATCGCCACCTTTCGATCCGGATCACCGAGCGCATAGCCAAATGCGGCCGGGATCGACCAGCCTGAATGTGCCCACTGCATTTGCAGCTCGACGCGCGCCCCCCGCGCCAGTCCCATCTGGATGGCATCGAACCAGGAGTCACCAATATCCACAAACAAAGTCGAATCCGCCGTGAGGATATTTTCGATCTGCCGTGCGATCTCTTTCCTGGTCAACGCACTCCCACCATGAGCCCGCAGCGGTTCAATCCGATCACTTCCTCGCTGCTTGTACTCCACCACCGATTTCGGACTCGGCAACTTGGCCGCCAACTGGCCGAGAAAATCCTTCATCAACACATCATTCCACTCTCCCCCCGGCACCGTCACCTGATCCATGCCCACTGAGATCCGATTCATCACCGGGGGCATAGCCGTCCATCCCGCGGTACTATAATCCGTAAACACGGTCCCCACACAAACCACCACATCCGACCACTCGACCGTCTCCTCCGCCCCCAACGTACTCGCCTCCCCCCAATACACCCCCGCAAACTGGGGATGCGACTCGGGAAACATCGACTTGGCCGCGGGCTGCACCGTGACCGCACAGCCCAACGTCTCCGCCAACGCCACCACGGCACTCTCCGCCCCCGCCGCCCTCACCTTCGGGCCCACCAACATGGTCACTGTATCCTGCCACCTCAACACCTCCACGGCCTTCCTCGCCGCGGCCTCCAACCCCAACGCATCACTCCTCCGCCTTTCCAACACCGCCGACGGCGGCCCCGTCAACGCACACGGCTCATGTGCCAAATTGACCGGAATCTCAATATACGCGGGCTTCCGCTGCAACCTCGCCGACTTAACCGCCCAATCAATCAACCGAGGTGCATCCGCCGCGCGCCGCACCACCACCGCCACACAAGTAATCCTCCTCACCATATCCACCTGAAACCCCAAATCCCCATCATCCAACGAATGATGGACCGAATGCAACGCCTCACGATCATTCGTATTCGGGGCCCCGGAAATCAGCAACACGGGGAGATTCTCCGCATAAGCCCCCGCAATGCCCGTGAACGCGGAGAGAGCGCCGACCCCATAGGTCACGAGACAGGCAGCGAGGCCACGGGCCCGGGCGTAGCCGTCGGCAGCGAAGGCGCAGTTGAGTTCATTGGTGCAGGTGATTTCGGTGAGGTCGGTGTGGTGGCGGAGGGAGTCGAGGAGGGGGGTGGTGTAGTCGCCGGGGACGACGAAGTGGTGGTGGATGTTGAGTTGGGAGAGACGGGTGGCGAGGAAGTGGGCGACTGTTGTCATTCTTTGCTTTGCGATGCTGGATTGGTATATAGTGGAGGGTTAATGGGGGGAAGGAAGGTTGTGTTGTTTTCATATGGTGCAAATCGGGGAGAAGCCCATATATTACTACCGACGCAGCTAAGACTGCAGTTGAAGTTGGTATCAAACTCTAGAGGCCACGGATCCACGGAATCGACGGGAGAATAACTCATCGGGATGCCATAGGACGGTGGCAGATTGGCTTTCATGATACCAGTGTCGCTATTGGATGGAACATTCGGTGGAACATTCGTGGATCATTCGTGGATCATTCGTGAATAATTCTGATATCATGACCACGGACCGAGCGGGATCAGCTGAAATAGAGGGCTTCTCGATGAATGGAATTTTCTGGAAGCTTCGAAGGTTGCCACGCTTTGACAAAGTTGCTCACTGGATGATTCGAGATGAGGTACTTAAGAATGATACATGATGAGACTGATGGAGGATACCTGGGGAGGGAGGCCTGTGCCATCTGCATGGGAGGAATGAGCTGGCATCCAGCATGGTGTACCATAATCCAACAGAAGAACGGTTACAAGTTGCACCCAGCAGATGCATACCAGCTACGAAGCAAAGCTATAGTGATATAAGATAAGTATATTACATTGTATGTTGTACTCATACCAGTAGGGCAAACCGATATATCACTGCCATCTGGGAGCAGACGGAGAGACAAGGGTGTCCCAACATTGGATCTACGAGATCACTCATACGCCAGTGGCGCCTCTCCCGCCGCCAGGTTACACTGGCGAAACAGTCGGACCTCATCCTTGCCAAACGCCCCAACCACCGAGTGAATGACGCCCCGATTGTTGAACAGGACGAGATCACCCTCTTCCCAGTCATGGGGATATACATACGCAGGACTAATTGCCGGTCGCTGCAGTTTGTACACGATCTCTCGCACTTGCTTCAGATCCTCGATCACCGTGCCGTCTTTGCAGTGGATCTTACGCACGGCAGAGGGGTGGATCTGTAGCGCTGGCTTCCCGGTGACGGGGTTCTTCCAGACCATGGGTAGGATTTGAATCTTGGATTCGTCGATCGGGGGAAGATCAGAAAGAGGGAGTTCCCGGTCCTCAGAGTACAGACCGAGACCGGTGGGAAGGGCCCGCGCAGAACTCATCCAGATGTACCTATCTAATCAGTATCACTCACGAGCAAGCTGGGGGAGACATACGGATGCGGTGCATATTCCACCCGACTAGTCCGAGCAAACTCCTTCTCCTCATCGGAGAGCAACTCGAACATTCTCTCGCCACTGACAAACGCGGTCGTTCCTAGCGGTACATCCAACGTCTCATTCGAACCATCATCATACCGCAGAGTCTGTCGTCGACCCTTGGGAACACGAACCGCCAATAATGTCGTCACGTTAGGCGGATAGAAATCATACAGCGCGGCATCGATATGCCAGCGGTAAAAGCGGGTAAAATCATAGTCTTCCTCGTCGGGGATCGCGTCACGGTGAAAGGTACGGTGATGGGGATGTTTCAGTTGGATATCAGTGAGACCTTCATAGGCATCGACGAAGCCGTGGCCGATGACTTGCACCTGGGGTTGATGAGGGACCGTCTTGAGATCGGGATGCAGAATACTCCGCTTGGCATCGAGGGTCTTGCCGTGACCGTATTGCGAGGCAGCCGGATCAAAGCGTCGGGTAAGTTCGTACTGCGCCTTCGGGGAGACGTGTTGTTGATTCTTGACCACCACGACAAGATTCTCATACAATGCCCGGTGAATTACCGCAAAATCCTCATCTAAGTAATTAGCGCAATTCATCTGCAGGCACGTGGCAAGTCATGCATACCGCTCAGGTTCTCCAGATCAACATTCTCGACAATAGCCCCGAAATCAATATCCGAGCCGGGCGGCGGAGGCAGGGAGTGGACGGTAGGAGCCATGGTGCAAACTTCTCAGAGCGAGTCGAATTCCACTGCTGGTGGGGAGACAATGCTTTAAATAGTGGTGGTGCTGGCATCGGCGTCGGGCAACCCCGGTCGCGGAAGAGGCCGATCGCGCTATCGGGATTATCTTATCGCCTTATCGGCACGGTCTTATCAATATGCCTGAGGCAGCTACAGCCATGGTTATCGGTGATGCAGAAGACGCTAGGATGGGCAAGTAGGTCCGAACTTGCCGTGCAGTTCCGGAGTTAGTATGGCGTACTAGACAATAAACATCCCGCTCGGTTCCTTATTATCGGACTTGTCTAGCCGTGACGTCTTGAGATGCTCCAGCGATTCCCCGATGCTAATTCGTGCTAGTTGTGACCAAGGGCTTGTCTCTATTGAATCAGACAAATGTCTCAACTCAAGGCAGCGGTCAAGCAAGCAATTGAGTGCTGTGGCATAATTAGTGTGATGAATAGTTCTATGGCACGGATTCTACACCGGTGTATGCACTGTGAATTCGGGAGACCTCTGCACTCGTCACGAGGATCATTTGAGAAAACCATGCTCATATCAACCCCCCAGGTCATCCCAAAGTCTACTGATATTTGTCCAAAGGATTAAATGAACCTTATTGGTGGCTTAAAGAAATAGCGGATGATGAAGCTGCCGTGTATGCAGCTAGCGAGCCGCTCTATAGACTTTCCCGGGACGCGTAGCGATTCAGTCTTGCTGAGACATAGTCTGTATGTATCCGATTTGTACACTTCCAATTTTCTGTGAGATCAATTCTTATTCATCAGCAAAGTAAAAATGCTGAAATCAAAAGGACACTGCCTGATGGTGTAGGCAGCAGCACCCGATTCATGACGACCTCCCATCAAGAACAGCACCATCAGCATGGACGGCATCCACATCTGCACTGCTTCATACAGCGGTCATAATTTCCCACCACTAACGCAGCCCCCGGATACATCGGAAGCAGATGTCACCGCATTGCGCGTCAGGGACGGGAAATATAGTGTGGCTTGTGAAGAAGCTGCAGGAACTCACTTTGTCCCGCACGCTGCGGCAGTTGTGCCGCCGGAGTTGCGGCGCCCCTGTCATTCCACCACTGCAGATAATCTGAGGTATAAAAGCAGCATGAATGCATCAATCCAACAAGCATCAACCAAAGCTTGTCTTTCTCTGATCTGCATCAATGGTGACTTCTACTTCTGTGATCGCCGTGGGTCTTGTCTGGGCGGCGCTGGCCAGTGCGAGCCCCGCTGACCCGCTGGTGACCCCCGCCCCCAAGCTCGACGATCTCGACAAACGGGCCACCACTTGCACCTTTTCCGGCTCCGAGGGGGCTTCCTCGGCCAGCAAGTCCAAGACTTCATGCTCCACGATCGTTCTATCCGACGTGGCAGTCCCGTCGGGCACCACGCTGGACCTGACGGACTTGAACGAAGGCACCCATGTAAGTTCCCGTAAATTCTCCGCTGTATACATCCTCATCATCGTAGGTCATCTTCGAAGGCGAAACCACCTTCGGGTACGAAGAATGGGACGGCCCTCTGGTCTCCGTCTCGGGGACTGACATCACCGTGACCGGCGCCGACGGGGCCTATCTCAACGGCGACGGCAGTCGGTGGTGGGACGACGAGGGCAGTAACGGCGGCAAGACGAAGCCCAAGTTCTTCTACGCGCATAACCTGATCGACTCGACGATCAGCGGGATCTACATCCAGAACTCACCGGTGCAGGTCTTCAGCATCGACGACTCGAGCTATCTCACCCTGGAGGATATCACGATCGATGACTCGGATGGGGATGACGCGGGGGCTGCGAATACCGATGGGTTTGACATCGGGTCCAGCACGTACATCACCATCACGGGCGCGAATGTGTATAATCAGGATGATTGCGTGGCGGTAAATTCGGGCGAGGTGGGTATCCCCGTGGAAAGTATGGACCGGGCTGATCGATCCAGAATATTTACTTTTCGGGCGGCGTTTGCTCGGGGGGTCATGGGTTGTCGATTGGGTCGGTGGGGGGTCGGGATGATAATACGGTGAAGAATGTGACGTTTTATAATTCGGAGATTAAGAGTTCGCAGAATGGTGAGATCCCCCCCCCAGTGGTCGTGTGATGTGATGAATGATGCTAATGTATGTATGTAGGAGTCCGAATCAAGACCATCTACGGGGATACCGGGTCTGTGAGTGACATTACCTACGAGAAGATCACCCTGTCCGAGATTACCGATTATGGCATTGTGGTGGAGCAGAATTATGATGATACCAGCGAATCGCCGACCGATGGAGTTACCATTGAGAACTTCATCCTGGATGAGGTCGAGGGAACCGTGGAGAGCTCGGGAACCAATATCTACATTGTGTGTGGATCGGATAGCTGTACGGATTGGACCTGGACGGGCGTGGATGTGACTGGGGGGAAGACCAGCTCGGATTGTGAGAATGTGCCGGATGATATCAGTTGTTGATGCAGATACCATATATCGGAGAGATGGTGAGAGATGGTGAGAGATGGTGAGAGATGATGAGAGATGAAGATGATGAAGAGAATGTAGATACTGCACTCACGCCAGGCACATCATCGGCAGAACATAGTTCGATTGACTGTCACAAGGGATCGTGGTATGCAGCATGGTGGGCTGATCACTGTTGCCCCTTTTGGATTGGAGGCCCAAGTGTTGGTAGAAGAATTCCATTGGTGGAAAAGGAAGCCTCTGAGGTTCCAAACTGTAAGACGCCACTGTCTGATGCAAGACTGCCCTATTCATTCCACGCTGCAGCTAGCATATTCCTGTAAGCCTCTTCAGAGACAGCCTTCACATCTTACAACAGTCAGGATTAAATACCCCATGATGCATCATCACATCCTACAATCCATTTAACTGTATGGAGCAAGACCTAGCTAACAACCGAATCATGTCCGACGGTCCGAACTATAACCCGATCAGGCATCACACACCCAAGGAACGACACACATGATGTCATGTGCATCTCCCCATCAAGGAACAATCGACACGTTGTGAACAGGCTCAGCCTGCTTCCGCGACATATAACCGGATCTCCTCCCGCCTCCCCGATTCAATATATAGACCATATACCTGGATATCGATGATTCCCTCCATACCTCTTATTCCCTCCCATCATGTCCATCCCCGACACAGCCACCCACCCCACCCCAGCAATGAACACAACCATATCCACCATGTCAAATAGATCCACCGACCTCCCCATCCACCCCACCATCCCCTGGGCCCCCGGGGCCGTGGAAACCCGCCCCATCAGCATCATCGGCGCCGGCTGTCTGGGGCGCCGAATCGCATGCATCTTCTCCGCAGGCGGGCACACCGTCCACCTCCGGGACCCGTCCGCCAAAGCCCGCACCGAAGCCCTAGACTACATCACCGAACACATCTCCGAATACGACTCCTTCCCCTTAATCCCGCGCAGCCGGGGACCCTGCCTGGCCTTCTCCGACCTCGATCCAGCCGTGCACAACGCCTGGCTGGTCATCGAATCCGTGCCCGAACGCCTGCCCCTGAAAATCGAAATCATGCGCGAGTTAGACGCAAAGACCCCCTCCGACTGTATTCTCGCGTCCAACTCCTCGTCATTTAAATCGAGTTTCATGGTGGAGAAAGTGAGCCGGGAACGACGTCCGCTGATGTGTAATATGCATTTTGCGATGCCGCCGCGGATTCGGGCCGTCGAGTTGATGACCAATGGGGAGACGTATTTGGAGGTGTTGAGTTTTTTGACCTGGGTGTTGGATGATTGTGGGATGATGCCGGTGACCGCGAGGAAGGAGAGTACGGGGTTGGTGAGGAGTCATTGTTTGAATACGGTGTCTTGATACCAGCAGAGGTGAGAGTAGGGGGGGTTGGATGGTGTCGAGACTGCCGCTGGTTGCAGCTGTGCAACGGCAGGGGGGGTATTTGACTGTTGGGCATACGAGCATCCATGCTGGGACCTCGAATACCTTCGACCTCAGGCTGAGACATTGCTCTATACGACCGGGATTGAACGGACACAAAACTCCACAATATATCCAGGACACGTATAGGCAGACACGGCAGCATCCTCACAGCACGACAAGCAACGAGCGAACAACCAGTCGACAGGGACTTGTATATTATGGAGTGACCACGCGTCTTATATAGGGGGCTGCATTCAAGACAGTTTTATTTATATATCTAGAGGCAATTACAGCATCTATCATCCATCTTGAATCCGGTAGAAGTGGTGAGACTGTATCCAAGATTCATAAGACCAGTGACATGCATCCTCGGCTGCCGGCATAAGGTTCAAGTCTCATAATTCCCCCGCCACCGTCTCCCCCGCCACTGCAATACCACCGTCGGAATGAAGCTCACCCCCATGATCAACGCCGTCACTACCCCGGAACTCTTGGCGATGCCGACGCTGTCGAACATATCGGTGAACCTGCCCCAACAACAGTTAGCGCTCATACTCCATACAGGAATAAGGAAATAGTCTATGATAGAGGAGGGATAGGAGGGATACCAAAACGGCCCAATAAACCCCCAGGTGGATCGGATCAAATTGACAAACACCCCCACACTCCCCGCATCAGTAGGATACTTATCAACCGCATAAGTAATCATGACCGTGGTAACGACCTGATTCCCAAACGCAGCAATCCCCGTCCCCACCACCGGCGAAACCCTCCACTTGCCCGTGGGGGCATACTCCGTACAAACCAAGAACACCACCATGCCGGCAATACTCAGCAGATAGCCAATATAACTCAACCATAGTCGATACTCCGGCTCCGGTTTGTGGCCCGTGCGCTTGGCACGGAGATTCATCCACGAGTCGGACAGCACACCACCGAGTTGTTCACCGAGGAGGGACCCGATGATGAGGCCCAGGAATTGCAGCCCGAGTTGTTGGGCGTTGAGATGGAATTTCGTCTGCAGGAGTTGCGGCACTTCGACGGAGTTCAAGACCGACGCGAAGAGAAAGACCATGGCGTAGGCGGCGGAGGCGATTAGAATGGGGATGTGGGTGATGAGGGTGAGGGGGTGGTAGAATTCGGAGAGCCGGAAGGGGGTGGGATCGATGCGACGGAGGGTGAGATATTCGCGTTTGAAGGGGGAGGGGGAGTGCATGTCCGTGCCGATGTAGCGCGTTTCGGGGCCGAAGAAGATGTACAGGATGAGTTCGACAGCGTTGGTCTGCAGTGTTGGTGGGATCGTTAGTATTGGCGGGTAAAAGTAGGGTATCCCGATGGTTTAGGAGAGAGGAGGGGGGGGTTTACAATAGCCAGAATCCAATAGATCCATCGATATCCCACCCGTTGAGCCACAAATCCAAAGATGAATGGTCCCACCGGGACTCCTAATGTGACCATCACGGCCCAAATCCCCATGTATTGTGCCCGTTCCCGACGAAAGAATGTCTCCGTGACGACTGCGCTGCCGATTGCCATGGCGGGCGAGATAAAGAACGCCACCAGGGCGCGACAGGCTGCCATTGAGGCATAGTCGGGGCTTTTTGCACAGCCGATATTGCAGACGCAGCTGAGGAGCAACGAGAGGAGGAAAATAGGACGGCGACCGAAGCGGTGGGACAGCGGTTTCCAGAACAGCGGAGCGCCGCCGAGAATGGCGATCTGGAGGGAGGTCAGATAGCTGACTCGCTGCAGCGACACCCCAACGTCTTCGGCGATATCTTCGTAGGCAGGAATAATGGCGGCAGCCGTAAAGGTGCCCATGCAGGCGTGAAAAGCCACTAGAACGAGATTCACGGTTTTCTACCCGGTTAGATGCACCAAGTACCCCCGTAGAGATGAGAGACATACTTTGAGCAGCGGCCAGTTGTACGGATCCGCCGGATCCATACTGGGAAGAGGGTCCAGGTCGAGGGTGCCATGTCGCTGGAGGAGATAGGATTTGTGCGGTTCAGAAAGGGAGCTGCCGGGCTCCGTGGCAAGAAATCCAGCTTCCGTCTTTTCAATATAATCGGACTGGGACGTTTTCGCGTCTTCGGAAGACATCTTATGAGTCGCGCGATATGATCAGACGGATCGTACGATGAACCCCAGATATATCGACCCCGCGAACTGGGGTATCCTCCGGGGCCCAACTGCCGGGATACGATCAGAGCTCATGGAATTGGACTAGTCTGGCCAGGATGAAGGTCGGAAAGTCGGGGTAGCGGGACCCGGAGCAACACTCCAGCCGTGAGAGGTTCCCCGCGGTGGATCGGCGGTAGTTGGTAGCCCCATCATTGCCGTCCCACGCGTGGCCGTCCCAGGTCCGTCCCTGATTATATACGCAGGGTTTCCCCGCGCGGAGGATTCCCTGCCTAGGCAGATGCAGCGGACCGAGGCATTCAGCTGGAATTGCCGATGGTTGTTCCGTAGCTCTCGAGGTCATAGCCTCCTCGTGTTCAACCCGATCATCTTCCGCACGCCATGCACGCTCTGGCTGACAATAGGCTCAATTGCCCGAATCCAGACAACAACATCAAAATATCCCCACGATTATTGGCCTGGCACCGTACGGAGTATACAGCGGGAATAATAACTCCTGCATCGGTCACCAAATGTGTATTGAGGTCGACTGGGCAGCGCCTCACATGCCAGGCGGGATTCTATTGGAAGGGCTACATTAGCCGGACCGATGGAATGCCCAGGAACCTTGCATGCATCCCTTGAAGATGCCTTACACCAGGCATGATGAAATTCAACTTTACAAGCAGCTAGGTGAGATGTTGATCCTGAAACAACCTCGATGCAGGATATCTTAGCTAACGTGTGCAGCACACGCTCATGTTAGGTACAGCAGACGTCCCTTGCATATCCCGTTAATGGCTGTGCCTGGATGGAATCAGTGGATGTGGTGGCTGGCACGCCCTGGAACGCGACCCGATGCAAGGGATACCAGCCAGGCTCAACTGGCATGCCCGCGTCTCTTAAATTGCGTGCGAGGACGTGGAGGACTTCTTGCTCTCACCGTCGTGAAAGCAGAATACAGCCTCATCATGTATACTTTTAGAGCACTTTCCTTCTTGAGCGCGATGCTCCTGGTCGGGCTTGGTGGCGCGTCCACGACCACGGTAGGACGCCTGATTCTCGTGGGATAATCTGCTAATTTTGCTAGGTTGGCCTTGAGACAGAAGAAGGAAGTCGGTCGGTGCAGGTACCACTGGACGAGTGCCACCAGATGGGGGAGTTGTAAGTTATACCCCAACATACAAAGAGGAAGCTAACATCCACAGTGACGTCTACGGGGTATTCATCTCCAAAACATGCCGTCTTTTCACGTAAGTACATGCGTCCGAAGCCTTTCGCTGCTAACACGGCATAGTGGAGTCGGCTGCACCGGACGCACCACGTTGCTGCAGCCTGGCCAGCACTCATCCTCGGAGGCAGTCAACATTGACAGCCTATTTTGCTATCCATGAGGCAGAATGTCATGGAATTATGTATAAACGGCGGATGCATTGGCTTGACCTTAACCTTAATCTGACTCAATCATGTTACTCGTCCGTCGGGACAACCAGCGTAACCAGACGAGGGGAATTCGGCCCCGAGTGGAATGCTAAGATCGATACTTCGGTTGAGAATCTTGGCTGTTGTGTGTACTGTTCAAATCCCGACCTCGAACTCCGTAGCAGTTGTATATCAAAGCAGCAGGTGTGGCGCAGTGAGATGCGTCATCGAATTATATCAGAGCATACAGGTCTAAACATCGGGCAATGTTACCAGTATGTGATAAATTATGCTGGTTGCACAAACTGATGGAAAAGGAAATTGTTTACTGAACGGAATGAGGCCCATATATAAACCCACTGCCACTTGCATGCTCTCAATCCACCTCCACCGCTCTGCAGTCACGATGCGTCTTTGGGTCAGTCTCCTGCCAGCCCTGGCAGCGGCAAGTGCAATCCAACAATGCAGGCCTTCCCAGGCCCGCGTCCGAAAAGAATGGTATGTACCCCGATACTCCCTTCGTACGCGACTAACAGGCTAGGGGCGTGCTGAGTACGGAGGAGAAAACGGAGTACCTTGATGCCGTGTGGTGTCTGCGTGGGCTTCCAGCAACCCTTCCTAATGATGAATATCCTGGCGTGCGCGATCGCATGGACGACTTTGTCGCGTGAATTCTCCCACCCTTCAGCCAGTGGCCCTACTAACTCCGCTAGAACCCACATCAACTATACCCTCAACATCCACAGCGACGGACTTCTCCTCCCATGGCACCGCCACTTCATCTACCTCTACGAAAAAGCCCTCCAAGATGAATGCAACTACCAAGGCACACTCCCGTATGTCCCTTCCCTTCTCCCAACCCTACCCCAATCCCCACAAAATCAAACATCCGCCAACACATCCAGATACTGGAACTGGACCCTCTACACGACCCCCACAACCCTAAACCCGGTCTTCGACGGCACATCGACCTCCTTCTCGGGCAACGGCCTCCCCATCGACAAAACCAACACGACCTCCCTCTGCCCACACAACATCCCCTGCCCGGCCCCCGGCACCGGCGGCGGCTGTCTCTACAACGGGCCCTTCGTCAACTGGACAGCCCATCTCGGCCCCTTCAGCATCTCCCAAGTGCAACCCTACGGCGACCTACCCCCAAACACCTACGCCTACAACCCCCGCTGCCTCACCCGAGACTTCACCCCGGACTGGCTCCCCCCTCTCACCTCCGCCGCAAACATCACCTCCATGCTCACCGCCCCGGACATCAAATCCTTCCTCACCCTCATGTCCCCCAGCACACTCGGGTACGTGGGGGCCCACGAAGCCGGGCACGCCGCCGTCGGCGCAAACATGCTGGATACATTTGCATCGGTACAAGATCCAGTATTCTTTCTACATCACGGGATGGTAGATCGGGTGTGGACGCTCTGGCAGGATGGGGATCTGAAGAATCGGTTGTGGGCGGTCAATGGGACGGGGATTGTGCATGATCCGCCGGATGCGGAGTTGGTGACGCTGGATACGGTGATGGAGTTTGGGGTGTTGAGTGGGGGGAAGAGGGTGGGGGAGGTGATGAGTGTGGTGGGGGGGGAGTATTGTTATCGGTATGATTATTGAGCCAGTGGGTGGTTGGTGAGTGTATAGTAGATGGGTGGTTGGTGAGTGGGGTGTTAAGGTACTATCCTTGGGGTTAGTGGAATGATATTTTCTGGTAGATGAGGTACTGGATGAGGGCACTAGTTCATGGTCGTTGAACAATCAAGCAGTAGAATAGACGTCAGCTAGATCCTAGTAGAATGATAATCTTCACAATAACGAATCAATGCATGACTACTAAATCTTCCAACAAAAAGAGGTAGGAGGATTAATAAACAGTCGCCTGCTCCCGATCCACATGCCCCGAAAACAACTCCTCTTTCCCCGGATCCTCGGGAAACTCGACGCCAAAAAACTTCTTCAAGACATCCTGAATGACATCATAACACGCGCCATATCTCACCAACTTCAGATCCCTGAAATTAATAATTGTCGACGACGCGCGGGGCACACTAAACGTGCGTTTCCCATAATCGATGACAATATCCGCCGCCTCAAGAATCTCACTCTCAATATCCTCCACCCGAACCTTCATCCCGGACCCCGAAATATTCGCCGATGACCCCAACAACGGAACCCCAGCCTCATGACACAACCGAATCAACTCCTCCTGAAACGGCCCCCCATTCACCAACATCGACAACGTCCCATCATGGGTACACCGATCCAGCAGTTCCGGGCCGAGTCTCTGAATAACCGGATGCTCGGGCCGAAACGGGGCCGCCACGCCGACGGGTAAATCCAGATCGACAGTGAGGGTGCGCACGATGGATTCCTCGCGCGGAGGCAGGACGTGGATTTCTTGATGTAAGGCGTAGCTGCCGATCATGGCGTGTTTTTTGTGGGGTTTGCGGCGTTTCGTGGTGAAGAGGCGGTCGAGGGCCGTGGGGTCGCTGGCGACCAGGCCGTAGCCGATGCTCCCCGGGATCAGGGCGATGCCTTTGTTTTGGATCACTTCGAAGACTCGTTGGGCATCGCGGGAGATGTTGATGGGGTCGGTGAGTTTCATGTTGCTTGCTTTAATTCAATAGATGAGTGGAGTGGAGAGTGAGATTGAGATTGAAATTGAGAGTGCGGAGGGAATAAGGGGATCGATGGAGGGGAGCTACGCTTATAAGCTACGTGCGGGGTGCAGCACAGAGAAAGTATGAGTTCGTGTGACCGACATGCAGACGCCACTTCCATCACCGAGGTACTATTGGTTATCGGTGTCTATTCCTCCAGCAATCGGATGGAGAAACCAGACAAAGAAACAGTAGCCGAGGAAACGCAAAATACAGGAAACGCAGAGGAATACAGGCATCCTAATCCCAAACCAGCAAGCCGATTTCCGATTCAAACTCGCCGCGTTCGGCTTCGATCAGATTCTCCAGGTGGTGGTTGGTCACGCGCTCGATCGGACCCTTCCAGAGGGCATGCCATGTGCCTTTGGCTTGGATGGTGTAATGGTGGCCGTGGACGAGCGGAACGCACGGCAGGTCGACTTGTGCTGTGATGCTGCCATTGGCGGGGACTTCGTTTAGGTCGTCGACGAAGGGAGGCCCGCGGCGCGACATGTGGATGGTGGGGAGGGGGACAAGATCGCCGGTGTCTGTGTCACGGATCTCGAAGACGCCGAGGATGCCTGCGTTCGGGTCCATCGGGGTGGACCAGGTGAGGAAGGTGATGGGGGTGTCGCTGGGGTTGTGGATGGTGGCTTTGATGGTGACGGAGCCAGTAGCGGTGAGGTTGGGATCCAGCTGGATCCGCAAGGAGGCAGTCATGCTGATGTTGTAGAAAGTCTGAGAATGATATGGTGTGGTTGGAGAGGTAGGACGGATTGAGGATGTAGGACAGCTCCATCCGAGTGATCAATGTATATGGTCGGCTCATTCACTGCAGATGGTAAGTGTTACTCAAGATTGAATTTGCTGCTGAGGGTTGATCACTGTCTTCAATGCGAAATGATTAGGTAGAGTCACAATGAACATGGTTTAGTCTATACAATATCTTTGTGGTATGTACAGCGGCGATATGGGGTCACATTAAAGACGTGCATTGTGTTTCGATTACTGCTTGAGTTAGGTTTCACTGTTTCACAAGCTCTGCTATGGAGTTACTAGGTATTCTCATAGCTCGTCTAGACGAATGCCAGTGAGGGAAGCTAATCAACACCCCACAAACACCGCATTCGCAAACAAAGTATAGGTATCCGCATTGCGAATCGCCTGATCCTTGGTCAACCTCATCGCCGCCTTATATCCATACCCCAGATCATCCGTGCCAGGAGCATAGACAGCCGGCGCATGAGTGAATTCATGAATGACAGTATTCGCCTGATCCTGCGCGTGGCATGTCGTCTGCACCGGCATCAGCCTTGACCAATACAACGGACAATTCACCACCACATTCCACTCTGGTATCGTATACGCCAGGACGCGATCAGTACAGAACTGGAATTTGTCAGAGCAGTAGTAGGTGGTTCTGTCGGCATTGAGCGAAGATTCCGCAGCAATGTAGGCGAGTCGGTTGGCCACGAGGCTTCGAGTTTCCTCGGAGGACGATTTGAAGTATTCTTCCATCCGCGCCGCGGAGCCTTTCCATGCCTCGTTGGCGGCGGCGATGGACATGTGCATGGCGTTGTCGAGGGCGGTGCGCATGATGGCGTCTTGGTTGGCGTTGCAGTCCCTGAGTCTGGTTCGGCGGTGGAGGGATGAGGTGAGGGTGAGGGCTTTGGAGATGGTGGCAGCTTTGGCGGCGTCGATGTTGATGGTGAGTGTGTTGGAAGTGTAGGGGAGGTAGAAGACGATTTCATGGTCACTAGCGATTGGAACCCAGCCGGAGGTGTGGACGGTAATGGGGCCGCTGTCGGTAATGTCGAGGGTTGAGGCAATGTCGAATTCGTCCACCAGGGATTCGCCGGCAGGAATCGTGGTGAGAGCATCTGAAGTGAGGTTGTCTAGGACCAGCCGCATCTTGATGCCGTTGAATACCAGCTCGGTTTCTGGCTGGTTAGGTTGCTAACGTGGCTAGTGATGGAGACTTACCATTGCGGAACAGACACCTTCTTGATCGGCGCGGTGTCCCCGAAGAAGTTGAGGTGCACGATAGTAAGGTCATCGTTGCCGGTGTTTGTCACTTCAGCCTTGATGCGCGTGTTGCTCACCTGGCTGAGAGTCACGTTCAGCGTGTCAGGAACAGTCGGGATGGCCAGGATGCATTGCATCAAGGCCAGCAGAGTTAGGAAGATGAAAAGCAACATTATGAAAGGGATTATGAGAATGAGGAACGGAAGGCAAGGTTGTGTGGGAGAATCTACGCGAGCTTTGAAGGTAAGAAGTCATTCCATTATATTCATTGTCAGTGAACGAGTGGTCTTTCTGCTCTCTCGAAAAATCCGGGGATTAACACCCTCTGAGTACTTCACATTCACTATAATGTTGCAGAGTGTCCCCCCAAGCTCTACCTATTACTCTATAAGATCAATTCAATTATACGATTAGCAGAATCTGCGCATGTTGATTTCTCGGAGTATGCTTAGAATACTATCTCGTATATGGATATTCCACGAACATCATGGAAAGCCTGCGTGTTAGCTATACAAAGATCAGTCAATTGGATCCAGTGGGTTGTCCAATATCGTCATTGCCTTGATTCTCGCGTACAAAAAGCATTCAATGCCTATAGTATCAACTGCATAGACCTGTACCTTTATTCCCTCCGTACAAACCAGTTGCCATGGACAGTAAACCCTACCACAACCAACTTCACCATCTATTCCAAGTGGAATAAGCCATAAATCACACAATCAGCTCAATTCGATGCCCCTTTCGTCTACTCGATTGCATTATCCCAGATACTTCAAACTAGCTTGACAAAGAAACACCACCAAACCCCGACCAAACCCCCAACACCACAGCCAACACCCAAGGCAACTCATCCCACCCTATCCCATGCCATCGAGCACTAGTAGCAACCCCACAACCACCAATCCCCTAATACAAACAATATTACCCCCATTATACCTCAAATCCTATCTGCCGGTTTCCCGGTACCCCAGACGTAAAATTAGGCAACCATTACCCCGTTACCCCATTACCCCAGAAAGTAATTCCGACATCCGAGTCAGGGGTCTACCCGGTGTCGGGCCGCTTGCGCGCCGAGGAGGCCGTAGATGCATACCGCACATCCAAGGAACGAGATCCCCTCATTAATAAATCAGTAGTATGATGGTGGTGTAAGCACCTAATCTGGTAGTTTTTGCTGGGTATGGTTCATTCCTTCTATGACATCACGCTAGGTAAGCACAAGTAACTGACATCGTTTGTCACAGCAGCAATTAACATTTTCATGCTGTTCCTTCTCAACTACTCCAATCAAACCAACCATTCAACCAAACAACTCTCTAATAAATCAAACTAAGTACCATATCTCAAGCAGAGACCCCCCACACATCCATTCCCATAACAACAATCCCCCTCATCGCGACACACCCCCCCATCCTCGCTACACCCGGGCCACTTCGGATCCGTCGCCCGACATTTCGTCGCCGCGCAATACCCCGAGCAGCAGATCGGGCCGCCCCCGCCCGAGATACAGTTCGCTGTGTTGGAGCGGTGAGGTCCGGTTGGTTGGTTACTTTGTTGGGAGGGAGGGAGGGATGGAGGTATGGACTTACAGTAGACGGTGAGACAGGTGGGTGTGGGTACGCAGGTCGTGATGGTGGTTGTGGGAGGGGTGTGGAAGGTTGCGGTGGTGCAGAAGTGGTTGGGGGGGCAGGAGGGGAGGGTGCCGCAGGGGGGGTTGGTGGTGGTTGTGGTGAGTGTGGTGGTGGAGGACGCACGAGTTAGTGTGATGAGGAAGGGGGCGATGAGGGATTTTTCGAGATGCATGGTGTGTTGAGTGATGGGCTGGGAAGTGGTGATGTGGGTATAGTGGGTATGATGCGGTCGAGGTATGGGGGGCATTTATATCTGACCTGTCTATGTCTCACTGCAAAGGTTGATGACGTTAATACGAAGGTAGTGTTCTTTAGGCAACCCACAAGATGGTTCTACAAAGGTATTTGTTGTGGCAGTTTGGCTTCCACATAATCATCAGTCACACAGGAAGGAGTTCCTATTGGAAATCCAGAGATGGTCGGTGTGGCGGCCGCCACGATGAATGGATTCATGGTTTGTCAAACCTAGCCACTGCAAGTGCACACCAGTGACACGAGCACTGCTATTTATAGACATGATTCTGTCATGAATTGCATTGCAATCCCTTCACCTCGGCATTCTGACACAGCACCCGCTCACCAGTATAGGTTGCTGGTAGTGTGATGTTGATATCCTGAAAGGTGAGATCGGTGCAAGGTGCCTTCTCAGAACAGAGCAAGGACACTGCAAAAGAGATATTTCTCCCCGGATAGTCCGTCACCGTAGCCAGTCCGTTGCCGCTGATGTTCTTGAAGTGCAGGTTCTCGAATTCGTATGTCGATGTGTCGCAGTACTGTGTAACATTTTCGTTGAACAGGTAACTCAGGCTGCCAGAGTTAGCCTAGTATCCCACAATTGAGGGGAGCCCTCACCAGGTGTCAATGTACACCGGCAGCTGGACGTCCTTGAGTTGGATGTTTTCTACCGTCACATTTCGAACATGCCCATGGCCGCCTCCACCACCATTAGGAGGGACACCGTAGTTGACCCCAATCCTAATTGGTCAGCTACCATCACTCCCAGGGCATGTTACCTACCAGCTTTTAAAGTACACCCCGGAATTCATCACCCGTTGAGATGACGGTTGAACCTGTCCGGTCAATATCGAAATATCGATATGGCACTCTGGAGCAACCACTCACCACAACATTCTTGACCGTGACATTTACCACAATATCCGTCCGGTCGGGATACTGTCCTAGCGAGCCAAAAGCAATGCCAGGCCCTCCATACACAGTCACATTCTCCACGTGTATATTCGTCGAGTTTCCCTTGAAGGCCACGACATCATCACCCCCTTGGTACACCCAATTGGTGATACTGATATAATCCGATCGGTACGTGTCAACCCCGTCAGTATTCTGCACCCACCCTCCCTCCGGACTCACCGAAAAATCGTGGTTGGTCGCATTCACATTAAACTGATCCAGTGCAATCTGCGAAGACGAGTCCACAAGAACAGCCCAAAACTGAGGCTGTCGGATAGACAAATTGCGGAGCGTTGCGCGCGTCGACTGAAACACATGCAACGGGATCGGCCGTCCAAAAACATTGCTTCCCCCCTTGGCCCACGTATACCACAGTTGCCCATTTCCATCGATCCCACCCCGGTGCGGACCCCCGTCGATCACGTAGTCATGGCCTGTGACGCGCCAGGCGCTCGATTGGTTCTGAAAGTCGACCCGGTAGGAGTGGTTAACCCAGTAGTCGATGTTGTCGCTGAAGAGCAGCGTGCCGCCGATTTCGAGGGTGGAGTTGGCCAGGTGAGTCGTCATCCGTTGGCTGATACGGTAGGTGTATGGCGCTGGAAGAACGATTCTCCCTCCAGCAGTCTGGCCGCATTGGTTGACGGCTGCGAGGATGTTAGGAACATCATCCTGCCCATTTCCGAGCGGAACGACGGTGCAGCTGGTGCCGTTCTTTTCGAAAGGCGGGATTGAAGTCGCGAAACAAAGGCCCAGAAAGGCAAACAGACTGCTGGCTGAAGACTTCATCTTGCCTGCTTGCCGGCACACATCGTCACGGGCTGTTGCCACTTTTAACTGTCATTTCCGTGTTGGATATTATTCCGGGTTGGGTGCGGATTAAGCTGCAGGGCGATGAAGATCGACGACGTTGCGGGGAACCAGACATGCTGGGTAGTGTGGATGTTTGCAAAGGGGAACACGGCATAATCGCTTGGCCGGTTTGCGATGATCAAGCGAAAATCACTGCTCTCGTTGAACACCGATTTCCTAGCAATGAAACCCTGTCATGAAGAGATAGGATAACACCTGGTTGTATGCCAAGCAAATATAACCTCCGAGGTGCGGTCACGTTGCACCGACGAGGCGAACTCATACGCCCCTCTCAGTTCATCCGGCTGGCATTAAGAGGGAATATCAACTCAACAATCGCAAGATGAACGCAGTCGATGCATCATCCCCTCATCCTCAACATGACGCCATGTTATGCGCTCCATAATGCCGTGGCAGGTCGTGCTCCGATGCTAAACCCCGTGGATGTCCCCTGTGGAATTACCAATGCCACGCATCCCTATGTGACCTGCTGCGTGAGAGGAGACTACTGCATGAGTCATGGCATCTGCCACTACATCAACCCCCAAGGGCAGAATGGCTATTATGCAGCCGATTGCACCGATCCGAAAATGCAGGATCCAGCGTGCATGACCCGATGCGGTATGCAAACAGTCCTTCAATGGAACCAAGCTAACCTCACATCTGCAGGCGGCAACCTCCTATCAGACCTCACCTATGATGCGACGAGCGGGCTATGGGCCTGCTGCAGCTACAAGAGCGACGGGACCAAAGATTGCGAGAACCACACCCAGGAGCTCTTCCCAGCTCCTGCCCCAAGCGACCTCGTCACCCTATTGCATATCCCCACGATAGGAACACCAACGTATGCGACGTCGGTCGCGGCGACATCGATAGCCAGTTCCTCGAGCGAAGCGTCCGATTCAAGGGGTCGCCATCGCAGTATCGATGCTGGGGCTGCGGCTGGAATAGGCGTCGGGGTTGCAGCTGCGATGATCCTCATTGCAATGTCCATCGCGTTCCTCATACTCCGGCGGCGAGTATCTTCCCTGTCCAGGGCTCCCCGACCAGGTTCCTTTTCTTCCACTACTCCAGCCATGGCACAGGTAGGACCGTACTCGGCATGGGTCGATTCCGCGACCGACATGCAGGAACCGGAACCTCGGTATGAGCTGCCAAGGTCTCAACAAGAGCTCGCATCGGGACTGTGACCAAGTATCAGTGATTAACGAAGTCTGGCCTGTACATACCTGCTGACTGTCCGGATTCCAGCGATCGTACGCTCACTACATATTAGTAAATCTCATCTGACATTATTGCATGTATGTATTAAATCATTTATTCGGCTCATGATTAACTGTCCGCAAGACACGCTCTTGTGGGTATAACAAACAATCTAGAACTACCAATCCTACCCTCGCCCGGTCAAATTATCATTACGCGTATCATATCGAGAAAGGTGTCCCGCGGATCACCGTGGAGTTCCTGTTGGTCCCGCCGATTGTGAATTCCAAGCGCTTGACCAGACCTTGGTCTCAAACGATTGTATGGGCATCTGCGAGAAAGGACACCCCGAGGACCGGGAGGATGGGTTGGGGGTGGAAATGGTGGGCGGTGATGGCGCAGTCTCCACTGACGATGCCTCGGAGAAAACACTTGCATAGGAGGACGATGACGTCGAACTTGCGGTGGCGGTCTTGACGCAACAGTCTGCGCGCAGGTGGGTCGAGCTGGGCTTAGGAGTCACTTGAGCACCGTTTTCTTGTTGCTTGTGAGACGCTTCAATCTCCTCTGTGAATTCTTCGCCATCACGCAGACGCCATCGCGCAAAAAGGTCATTCTGAATCCAGATCACCTTGCCCAGCGCTCGGACTAGCGCCAGTCGAAAAGGTAGGGAGAGCTTCTCAAAGGTCAAGACCGCCTCGAGGACGATGTCCTGGATAAAGCCAAGACAGGCGCCAATATGGATATACTCGACGTTCAATGAGTGCAGTCGTTCCTTGCCATAATGCATCCTCCTACGGCAGCGTTAGCCAATGCAACCACACAAAAACCGGAAACAGGTAGGGCGCATACCCCACTTGGTTGAGATAGCGCCAGAATTCGGGTTTGGTCGGGTCAGAACACAGTTTCGTCATGTACCATCGAAGAAACTGGCGGCGACGCTGGACTGTGGGGCTGTCGATGGTCGGATAATCATCCGGTTCTTCTTCTACGGCCGTGTTTCGGGTGCGGAAGACTCGGGCGGTGATGTCGGCCTCTAAAAGCTTTGCATACACCTTATCCACGATGGTCGGGGCGAGGGCCTTGACATATTTGGCGCCTCGGACGAGGGCGGCGACATCGTCTGCACTCAGAGTTTAGCATGTCTGCTTCAATTTGGGCGATGCGGAGGACCCCGGGGCATCAGCACTGTGGGGAAGACCGGGGCACCAACCGGCATTGAAATCGAGAAATCTCTGCAAATAATCGATCCGCGCTTCTAGATCGGTGTAGAGGGCCTTCCGATCGACGTGTCTGGGACGGTTCTCAGAAAGGTCGTGGTCGGACATGGCGCAGGTTGGAAGAAGGTAGTGAAAGAGGAGGAAGGGCAAAGTGGGCAGGAGGCCGTTCAAATCTCCTGTCAGGAATGGCCCCCGACCTGGTCGCGTAGGTATATACCTGCGCTGCCTGATAAAAATCCTGTCATGCTGCAGATTGCGACCCCTCCAGTCGTTAATTGGGAAAGGCAGACAGCGAATCAGTGGGGCGGATGAGCTGATCTGTTGGGTTTTTCGGCTCCGCTTCGCCTGTCATCGACTCATCAATCACCCTTTTCGACAGCTCTCCTGATCGGCCACCCCCTCCTCGCCATCTCCACGAGTCGAGTCGCAGGTCGGCCTCAATCTGAGACCAGCCCTGTCTCCGCCGGCCTGGGCTGTCAAACTGTCAAAGGCCTCGGTGCCTTGGCGGCGAGCGATCGTCGCGATGAAGGTTAAGCCATCCACCCCTAGGCCGATGCTTGGTTTGGATTTCCGATGGGCGCAAGCCAACCGCAGCCCCCAAATCTCATCTCACGTCACATCGGCAGCACATGGATGCTTCTGCAGCTTCTGCCTAAAGAGCTTTAGTGCGTTGAAAATTTTCCGGCCCGGCATTCGATTGGTCGAGAGCCGGCAATTGCTAGGGGGATGACGCTTCCACCGGGTAGGATGGAGAACTGTGGAGCGGAAACGTCTACGGAGTACCTTCCCGCCGGTTTGCCGTCAACGCAAATTTGGGCGGGCAGCTGCCATCGGTGTAGGCCAATGATGCATCAATCGAATTTAATCTGACCTGACTGGCCGGGATGTCGGACCGCGTACGGAGTAGATGCCAGGTAGATACTCCGTAGATATCGTCAATCCCACTGGAGTGGCATGAAAAGGAACCCAGTCCACCCGTCCACTATCGATAGACACACACCGACATTGTCTCGGGAGAGATAGGGGAACACTAGCAGCCTCATTAATGTTGAGGCCATTCTTGGCTGAACTCCGGGACCGGCGTGACTTACTGACTCCTATTCTCTTCATCAATCTCGGGGCATTGCCAAAGCTGGTACGGACTCCAGTCTCCAAGTCTCCAATCAATCGCTACCCCACCGGATTGCAGGCAGTCCGTCGAGGTTTTTGATCCATCACCGGGAATCTTATCCTTCATTTGTTTCAGACAAGGGGGGTTCTTTAGGCGCGACCGACAGGGTTTGGAGTCGACTGAGAACCCCTTTAAAAAGCTTTAAGATCTTCACTAGTGAGAATGAGGCCCGCACCTCCGACACGAGTCAACTTTGGTGGAGTCGCATACCTTTGGTCTCCGCCACCTTAATTGTTCGCTTCGACGCCGGCCAGAACCATCGCGAACCTCAAAATGGGATCTCAGAGAAAGCTCCAGGGGCGCCCCTGATTGGTGGGACATGGGATTCGAACATTCGATAGATGAGAATTAATCTATGAATAGATGAAATTCAATCTATGTTATCTGGGTCGAGTGAGACATGATGGTCCGCCAATGCGGCGTTCACGGACTCCCTTTCAAGTTTGGGGAACCATCAAGAGGGAAGAAGAGAAAGAACCCGTCAACTCGGCCGAAGAAAATGCCGGCTGGCAGCAGAAGTGAAAGGTGAAATGTGAAACGTGACCGGGTCACCTGCCACACGCCTGAAACGGCCATGGCGCGTTGACATCACCACCAAACTCTCTTCCCTTCCCCATCTGCCCATCGCCATCAAGCCCCCCACTCCATTGCTATCTTCCTGCATCCCACTACTGATCCATTACGAATCCATCTCCAAATCTTCAAACAATGTCTGCTGCGATGATCCTCCGACGCAGTTCCACTCTGAGCCGTCCGCTCCTCCTCCGCCCCGCCTATTCGGCCCGGGTCTGCTACTACCACCCGCCCGAAGTACACAGCAACAAGGGCGAGGAGTGTACGTTTGCCACCTATACTTCTATCGTTTTACGCGATCCATCTCATAAGAGATTTTACGAGAAGAGTCATGAAACTGACGAGCACCAGTCTTTATCACAGCCTCCTTCCCCGACGACTTCGAGGCCCCCAGTCTTGTCCAAAAACGTGACGAGCAGGGGCAGAGTCTAGGCCGCTGGGATGAGCTTCATGCGACGTCCAGTGAGGTCTCGGTGTGTTGCTCTTCCTTTTTGAATACGTGTCTCGTGAAAAGAAAAGCTAAGGCACCCGTGCACTGCAGGTCAAAGCCGACCGGGGCGACATCAACATCCAACAGCAACAGCAACAGCAGCGAAGGAATCGGGATCTGGATAGGAACCTCCAGGAAGCAGAGGAGCCGAAACTTGATGAAATGTGATTGATGCGTTTGATCATGTCATGACAATGGTACGATTGCATGCGCTGTCTTGAGGTAAGGTGACACAGATTGCACGCTGGTGTATAGTAAGTTTGGTGAGTTCTTTGTTCTTGTTTCATGATTATATCTATGGCTGGTCCAGATTGTCTATTGTACCCTATCCAGCTGTATATCTACTATGAACTGAATCGATGGATCATATCCTCATAAGCGTCGTCGAGTCTGACATTATCGTACGATCTAGATGAATACTTGGTCAACTGCTCAGCTAATGTCCTCCACTTGCTGTACTGTGCCCTCGACCTTTTGGTCGACGTGGGCTTGCAGCGCGTGCTGGCCTGGTGTGACTGTTCGCCCGCCCTTCGAGGTGAACACGCCCCCGGTAATTCCACCCTTGTGGAAGAGCAAGGGAATATCCTCCAGCTCTAGGCCTTTGGTCTCTGGGTAGAAAAAATACACCATCGGGATAAATACGGCGTTCAGGACAGCAAAGATGACGAAGGTGCGCCAGCCAATGTTGTCTAACCTGTCAGCATATCTTTCTCTTGTGTCAAATGGAGAACCTACCAAATGCGATCGGGGTGATCTTCACCACGGCGAACACGGCCATCCAGTTCCATCCCGACGCAATGGCCTGCATTCGCGTCCGCACCCGCGTGGTATTCAGCTCGGCCGGGTAGAACCACGGCACAGGCAGCCAGCCCACACCATAAAAGATCTGGAAGATGAAGATAAAGGCGGTCGCTCCGTAGGCGCAGTCCTCCCGGTCTAGCGAAAGTAGGATCGACACCATCACGAAGCAGAGACACAATCCCGCCGAACACACCATCAGGAGGGTACGACGCCCGTACCGATCCATCAAGAACACGGGAATCGCCGATCCAACCAGGTAGGTACACTGCATTGCGCCACCCAGAATCAGCGACAGATTACGGCTCATGTTCATGGTCTCCTGGAACATGACAGGCCCGTAATAATTAATCATATTGGACCCCGTGAACTGTTGGCCCAGCTCGATGGTGATGGTGATGAGGAGACGACGCAGGTTCTGCACCTCGCCCCAGGTGAAGAGCTCCTTGACTCGGAAGGGCCCGTCCTTTTGTTCTTCCTCCAGCACAAATTGAATGTCCAGGATAGTCTTGGTGACACGTGCATCATCAATGGTGGTGTCTTCGATGGCAGCCACGACGGCACGCGCTTCTTCATGGCGATCATGTTGGACCAGCCAACGGGGCGTCTCGGGGAGACCGACCACCTGGAAGATGAGACAGACGGCAAAGACCGATTGAAACGCCAGTGGGAGTCGCCATTCGTAGGAGGAATCGGTAAAGCTGGTCCCGTAGTCCATCCTGCGTTGTCCTCGTTAGTGTGCGGCAGTCACTGGTGGTGATGGTCAGGATTTTCTCACCAGTAGGCGATCACCACACCCAAGATGGTGACCGTTCCCTGGAGGGTGAGCAGGGCACCACGGTATGCAGCCGGAGAACATTCACTCTGGTACACGGGTGCTGTGGACGAGTTCATTCCGTTCCCGAGACCGGTGATAATTCGGCCGACCAGCAGCTGGGCCAAGGTATAGGAGGAGGCCAGAATGATAGATCCAATGACCATGATGAAGCCACCCGTCATGAGCATGGTCCGTCGACCCATCCTCTCGCCGATGAAGTAGCAGACGATGGATCCGATGACGCAGCCGATATCGTAGAGACCGGTGATGTTGCCCTGCATCGCCGCGTCGGGGTTGTTGAAGTCGCGGGCGAACCGATTGTCCGCGCCCACAATGCCGGACATGACACCTGCCAGCCAACGTTAATCGGTCGCCCATGACCGGCTCAGATACGACAACGAACCCTGGTCAAAACCCAGCAGAAGGAAGGCCTGGCAGGAGGCCATGGTGATGGCGATGATCAGGGCCCTGCCCCGAAAGTCATGTTTCCAGAGACGCATATTGCCGTCAGTGTCTAATGCATTCTTCGATGGAGGAGAAAGAAGGGAAAGCAAGAACAATCAAGCTTCATTAAGCATTGATGGAGCTGGATGGTCGTCGGTCTAATACACCCGAATGCAGTCGTCAGGGCCCGATGCCCAGCTGCCGGTCCTCGCGCAGGATTACCCCGAGCAAAGACACGTCTCGTCCTGCAGGGAAGAGTCTGACAGAGCTGGCCAGCTTGATTGGACCCGGCCGGGTCGGCAGGTCGGGGGATCATCGCGCCGAAATGCGGGGTACCCCATGGGACATCCCTGACTAATCGCATGGGCTGAAAGGGTTCACCGGGGGCCTCCTCGGGAGCTGACAGCGGCATTGAGCCGATCGTGTTGGGTGGGATGTGACATGATGATCCACCCGAAGCAGTGTAGTCGGAAAACCCGAGGCTTCCGCAGCTACATTGCCGAACGAGCAGCGGGACCAACACACAATTTCTTTCCAAACCAAGAAAGAAAAATGCGAAGAAGTTACCTGGTCAGCGAACGAGGCCACCTTCGTTAGAGGGGAGCACCGCTTTGATAATTATAGGTTCAAGATAGAAAACATTCATCAGCAGCACTTTCGTCAGCAGCTGTGCCTGTTCCTAGTAGGACTTGGCAAGCGCCTCTGTCAGACCGAATACGAGAGTCGCACCTATGGAGCGATGTGGTAATCGAATTATATAATGGTATCCGCCCCATAAATGATTCATCGGACGGTGCTATACACCTCCACCTCGGACTTCCTCACGAAAGATAAAGCAGGGGAGGGGAGAAGTGTCTACTCTTCGTTATCATTGACTGCTCAGGTGCATATAAAGTCATCCCAACTCAAGATAGCCTACGCTTTGCTTGGTGTGGTATCATCCTCTCTTCATGGTGAGTGGCTAGTCACTACTGTTTTCGGGAATGGTAGTGCAGATGTCGAGGTTGTGGTGACCGTGCTAATACTGGGTAAGGATACTAAGAGTGGTGGATATAAATTGATTCCCTGATGGCGGGATGTGCATAGTGCAGGTGCATAGGCTTTCACAGGCACGGAATTTTTGGAAATGGAGAAGATCTGCCGAAGGATAATCACACACCTCTGAGATGCAGTCTTCTCTGGCATGAAGCCCTTTAGGCCAGCCCGGTCATGCTTTCTAAAGCTACTGCAAAGAGCTATCATGGTGGGTAGTACCGGCAAAATTGCTCAAGAAAACAACATCGCAGTCCGGCCAAGCCAGACGCGAATCAAATATGAATTGATACAAGAAGCGAAACCCTCATCGGGACCAACTATATACAAACAACCTAGCGAACCGCCTAGCAGTCCTCCTCCTCCTCGGCCACAACAGTCGAGTGGGAGGTAGCATCAGCCGCAGTCTCAACAGTGATAGTAGCAGACCCGCTGCTCTCATAACCCTCAGTCGCAACAATCATGTAGTTGGGGGTACCAAGCTCCAGACCCAATTTCTCCCAAGCATCGAAGTGGTTCTGGGTGGTGACGGTACCGCCGATACGGCCGGACTCGCGGACAGACCAGTACTGCTTGAAGGTGGCAGTGCCTTCGACGGAGGGCTGGTTCTCGCGGGTGGTCTGGTAGATCTTGTAGGTGCCGTCGTCACTCTCGACGGTGCCGAGCTCGGTCAGGCCCGAGGAGGGGTTGTAGTCGCCGTACTTCTCGACGATGTAGAATTCGACCAGAGGGGAGGTGGTCCAGCCGTAGACGGAGAGGTAGGCGTTGGCGTTGGTCTCCCAGGTTCCGCTGTAGGTGACGGTCCTGATGATGGTTAGTATCATTGCATTTCAGAGAGGCTTAGGGGTCGTACTGGGCATCAGCAGGGTCCCAGCCCTTGCCAGCCACGAAGTCGCCGCAGTCAGTCCACTCAACGGTGTATTCGCCGGCGTCACCGTTGGTGTAGGTCACATCACCGCCACCGTTGGTCCAGAAGGAGTAGAAGTAGCCATCGCTGGTACCCTCAGCGGAGGAGGTGAGGCTGCGCTTGGCCATGTCGATGTAGGCGCGGTTACCGGGAGCGGCGAGGGCGCTGGAGGCTGCCGACAAGGCGAGAACGAGGGAAGAGAAGGCGACCATGGTGATGGTTATGGTAAGGAGTGACTGGTGATAGTTGGAAGGGAGTAAAAAAGATACTGGTTGGAGTGCAAGAAAGAGGTACGGCTCCCCTCCTTATATGACCCAAGCAGCAAATTGCCTGGTACGATGGTACTCCATTGGACCCGATCGCGCTTGAGCCGGTAGTGCGACACTCATCAGTCTGTCGTTGATTAACCTGGCGGCGTGGGCCCCTAGTCATGTTCCTGAACAATCTTAATCGGCCGTGGTGTTTCATATTAAAAGTGGGCACCCACTTTTTTCTCCGGCGGACCGACCCAGCAACCCTACCATCAACCACTCACCAGCAGCCATTCGGCCATGACTGCCCTGTGAATGGTGCAACAACTGGCCTGGTGCAGAAGGTGGACTCGGCCGTTTTCCCCAGCAAGAAGACCCGCCGATATTGCCGGCATCCCTGGTTTTGCTCTCGGACACTGATGCCTCCACTACTGCTTCCACCAGCATTACTAGTGGTCACTGTTTTTAGTAACTGGCGGTTCTTAGCGCCCGGGCTTTCCTCACGGACTGTCGGATGAACTGATGAAGCCCCTTGGCGACCAAAGCTAGGATTTGATAGAAGTTCATTAATTTTGGATTGGCCTGGCCGAGGCCTACATCGGGCAGACCGGATGCCATCACCCAATACAAGACAAGCGTTATTGAGCGTCAGGGGGCTAATTCATGATAAGATGTTTAATTATGAGGATTGCTCATGGCGCTTCTGTATGATGTCTTTCAGCGGCCATTTTGAAGTTTCTGGTGATGTGGTTCTATCACATCGGTCAGGGGTGAGCCATTTGGTCCATATGTAGGCAAATCCGTCCTGGAGAGTTTCTATGCCATTAACGATGCATTTAAACGTTTCCTGTCATCATTGCGCAGGCTAACTTACTTTTAGACGCTCCAGCCGGATAGTCAGGCCGCTTAGCGTGTCAATTCAGGCACCGCCGTTTGAGGATAGCATAATCCTTGCTTTGACAGGGTTGTGTGATATGACATATGCCAAACAAGTTTTGAAACAAAAGTATGAATAACCAACGTAAAATCCGCCTGCTGCAGATTCCAAGTCTAGGGACGAGCATCAACGTCTACTCTACATATAACGCTAGTTCCTAGAAGTTCTGCGATAGCGACCTTTATGTCTCGGCCATAATATCGACCGTTATTGCCCAAGGCTAACAGTAACAAGCTACCAGCAAACCCCATATTTATTTTAAGCATCTGCTACTTTATCCTGTCGATTGTCCGGTGGGTGTCCGATGCCCCACAGTTAATATAAGGGGTGATTGCATAATTCTATTCACAAGTTGATCATCCGCATACCTTTCAACATGATCTTTACGTTATAACAATGACAATCTTTCCACTTGATTTCCAACCAGATAGCCCTCCTCACTTCCTCCGCCTACTCCAACTTTCACTTTTGACCTGCACATGCAGCCTATTCTCGTGAAACGGTTCAATGGATGCCTGCGCGCTCGCGTATCCGCAAATAAAAACTCCACCAACTTGGGATTCTTGTAGACGGTGGTATGATATGACATGGTTATTCCCTTTCCAGACCAACCGAGCAGGACCATCGGTCCATGCTTCCAAGTAACGGCTGCTGCCAATTCAAGAGCAGAGGGATGATCAGTAGCCAGCACCGTCGCATTGAGTACTGGATAATTATCAGAAACAGTATCTCGATCTTTTCCCGGGACCTTTCCACAGGATCGTACCAAGATAAGCACATCAGCTTTGTGCTCGGAGGATGCGACTGCGTCTAAAGCTGAATGCTTGATGTCGATAGCTGCTACCTTGTAACCCTGTCGCCAATCGATTTGAAACATACAATTGGCGCCGGAGGTGTATCTTACCATGCAGTTGGCGTATTGGGTACCTAAATGGCCGTCCATCAATTTTGACAATGCCATCGAACGCACTTTGAGGACATTCGTTCGGAGAATACCTCCTGGATACTGATCCCGGTACAGGTTAATGGGCTGCCCCTTAACCCGATGTCGTTTGGTACTTGCACTATGACGTGAGCATCTCTCCAACAATGTCAATTGAGTGTTGCAATATCACTGGAGGATGAACTTGGCATGCACGCGGTTATATATTCCGCCCACGCGCCATAGGCAGTGATAACTTTCATTTTCGGAGCATTGCAATAGATGGGAAGACCCCCCTTACAATCTACTGAGGTTCATGTAGAGTAAAAAAAAAAAAGAAAGAAAAAGACACACACCATTGTCAATAAGAGAGAAGAAATTTGGATGTAGCTACGAAATTTAGATGAGCTGCGTGTGGTTCAAATATTGACACGAACTTATCCCACGTGGATTTCCCCAATTTGGGGCGGCAACTCGGCACACTGCCACGAATTTGGGGAAGGCCAGGAAGAGTGTGCTCCAGGCTGGGCCGAACAGACTCCTTCAACAGCACCGTCGCTTGAGAGAAAACAGGCAAAAAGAGAAAGGGCTGGAGCATGATGGTGTCCGTGAGGGCGAGTAAAAAAGGAAATTTGAGCTCCGATAGGGGGAATCGAACCCCCGGCTGCCGTGTGAGAGACGGCGATGTTAGCCACTACACCATATCGGATCTTGTTGAAGATACAGCTTTTATATTGCCCTATCAAGGTTAACAAAACTGTGTGCCTCCATTGATTGTGGTCATTGCCCGGCGCAGGAGAAATACTGCCTTTTGGGGGGTCTGTTTCGATTTTGTGAGAGGGAACTCATTTTTCTATCACTCATTGCAAGCTCTTATAGTCTTATAAGCGAACGGCATGAAAATACGATAGTTACATGATGTTGGACACAGAATACAAGGATAAATACTGCGTGGTGGGTAGCAGACTACACTTGGAAATATATTTATAGCTTCCAGGAGATGTAGTACCATGGCCGCCATGTTTGAAAATCCTTGGTATCTAGCGTTGGGCCATGCGGACTAAGAAAGATTCTTTCTTGTCAAAAGTGTCCATCCCGAATCCTGTCAATCCACTTGAGTACCAAGTACTTCAATTTTAAGGAATCAACTTCTACCTCACAACCAATCAAAGCCACGCAATATCTTCATGAAAGCTTTGGCCCTGGATTAGGACTAGCGCCAATGAGCTCCGGAGAGGTTCCAGTACCTGAATAACACCTTCCACTCCGATGGATCCTTGCGGACCTTGCGGACCTTGCTGATGCTATTGCTGTTGACATACCCTCCCTTCTGGACAAATTGGACCGCAGACAAATCTCCGCCGGAACACATGCTAGTTCTACGCGGCCATGCAGCTTGGTCCGGAGTTGCACACGCGGCGTGATCCTACACAGACATGACTCTCAGTCCAGAAGCTGGACCATTTCCTTATCATTTCACTTGAGCTAAGCTAGCTGCATCCTAATATCAGGACGGACAGAATAATTCCGGTCCACTAATCACAGAAGACATGCAGCTACGGAGGATACGCGTACGCAGCGCTTTCAGCACAGGCTAGTCAAACAACCGATCATATTCAACAGGTTGCTAACATGCCATGCAGGGAACAAGCATTCCACAGAGCTGACAATGCATATGGCTCAGCTGCTGACTGCCGATGTTAATACAGACGCAAGGGTTGATCGCCATGGCAATGTTTGCCATGTCGACCCTGCATGAATACCAGCATAGAGCATCATACTCGCATTCTCGCATCCAATCCCAGGAGCAATTCCTTTTTCCAAATGAGCGACTCGATCATGGACTAGGAGACAATTTGGTGGATCAAGACACCGAGCGAAAGAAGGTACAGATATTGCCCCAGCGGATGCAATCTACGGCATGCATGTACTTGTATTAGTGGTTGGAATCTCCTCCTCGTCAAGCTTTACATAGGTCGAAGAGGTCCTAGCGGATGACTAGCCCACGCCTGGCAATGGGTATAGGTGGACCAATTGGTGAAAGTCGGCGTCTTGAACAGCAATCGCCGAGACACTGCAATAGATCACACCCTAATGTGCAGTATGCATATATGCACCTGAGACATGCTGCAGAAGGTATTGCTGGATCTGGAGTAGTAATACGGGCAAGGTAAAAGAAGCAGCATATACAAGCAAACAACCCCCGCAGAAGACGGGGCAGCTCCTACCGGAGAAGCTTATGACAGGCGGACACCAGTCTGGGGAAGGGCTAAATCAGCCATGCTTTTATGCATGGCTCGTCATGGTGGATGCGTGGCCGGTGGAGCTTCGCAAACCCGCCCCGAATCGGGTAAGCCGAATAGCTGCATGACAACCTCAGGCCTCAACATGATCCCAAGAATGGATGCAGGAAAAAAGGTAGGTCAGCCGGCTGAAACTGTTCCTGTTAATCCATGCCTCTCATGGAAGACAACTGAAGAACGACAGCCCACCCTTGGAGCTTGGCAAGCAGATCCACGACTCAAGCTCACCTCACGCTTCCCCGGGTTACTTGGCCATCTGGACCGGGATCTGTCGCTAACAACCTTATTCCTACGGAATTGGAGGAAATCTTTCATCTGCAGAAGACCAGACGTTTGACTGCAAGGCGCGTCATACAATACAGATACCATGCGCCACCAAACATCTGGTTTAGACTGAGCAGCTAGCCTCCGGAGTCCACCCACACTCCGCATGACAGCCTACCAAATATATTGCATTTGTGATTACTACCAGAAGGCCTGAGCATTATGAATGACCGTGGGCCATGTTCCGTGCGCTCCGGCAGACTCCGTCTTGACTGCTCTCCTCCCCACTCCGACGGCTTCATCCGTAGCGTCCGTGATGGAGGTTAGGACTGTCTTCGGGGATCATTTGACTGCATCACCGATTGCCAATGACGAGTCAAATCACGCATTCGGCCACTATTTCTCGCTTCCGAATGTGATATGCAATCTCCTGTTCGTGGGGCCGTCGGCACAAGCGATGTGGGGACTGAAAACTATACCCAGTCATTCAAAGCGATGGCTGACATTCATCAATCATCTGATGAACCATACGCTAGCACAGCTGGTGGAATTAACCGTTGAACTCACCCACTAGTCGAATGTCGCTGCTACTAGTAGATACCGGCTGTATAGCGACATATTGCGCCGAGATTAATTTCTGCGATGGACTCGTCTCACATGCAATTCGCTAGAGCCATTGTCTTCCGGAGAAGTTCTCTCCGGGTGTGAACATTGGACTATATAAGAGTAGACGTTTGCGCACCATCATCCTAATCAACAACGCTTTCATTCATTCCAGCTCATTCATTCAAACCTCTCTTTTCTCTGTCCTTCCTTCAACTCTTCAAGTATACCAAACAAAGCCAAAATGAAGTCATTCAGTACCGCACTTTTGGCCCTTCTGCTCACTCCGCTGGCCGTGGCAGCATCCTGCAACACCACCGCCCTCAACACCACCAGCTACTCGTACGAGATCACCATCGACGGCACCACCGTCTTCGACGTTGCTCGCGAAACCAACCGCGGCGTCTGCGACATCGGCCGCCAGAACCTCATGGCGGACGTGACCATCGTCCCCAACGTGGGTGAGTCATTCATCATCCCCGGCGAGGTCTGCGAGCCCGACAACACCTCCTGTATCCTACCCGACACCAACACCACCCGCACCTGCATCTACGGCGGACCTCGCCTCTACTACACCGTCCGCGGCGACACCTACGAGGTGATTGCCCGTCGGTTGAACATCACCGTCGAATCGCTGATGCACGTGGACGGACCTTCCAACGAGACCCTCGTCAACCCTACCTCGCCCACCGCCGAACTCAACGTCGGTCAGTTTATCAAGGTCCCCCAGTGTGATCCCAGTCAGTGTATCCTCCAGCCATACCAGTTTACCTGGGGCGTGTACAAGGATCTGGCGGAGCGGTACGATACCACTGTCGGCCAGATCATGATGTTGAGTCCGACCTACAACTACAGCAGTCTGGCTTTTTCTGCGGAGGGAGAGTTTCCTCCTATCAATCTCCCGATTAACTGCACTGCGTTGTCGAACAATATCACTACTATTGATTAGTTGGTTCTGAGTTATTTGTCGGAATCACTTCGTTCCTTGTTCTCTGCCTTATGTTAATACACATTGTGTATCTACCTGATGTTTGCCTGCCAACAACATTGACTGCACTAGCACAACATCCAGTCACCCAGACCTATCCAATGTCACCGTCAATCATGTCCTGCATCAGTTAATCATGCTAATACCATCAATTCTGCGTCCGTCTGCCGGTACATAGCATAGTCTTGGACAAAATAACATGTTATTGGATTTTATTATAATTTGAGCTTCAATCCTGACCACCAGCGCAAACCTCACGTTTTCAGAGCGACGGCTTGAAAGTAGAGAAATGATTGCAGGTCTTCAAGTCCGCTTTTCCGCGGGATGTCGGCGGTTGCGCTAGTGGGGGGCCGCGCGATGCTCCACCCATCTTTACCCCACCCTTAAGAGGAGCCATTATCTACAAAGTGGGATTATGAACTGAGGCACTCCGATTGGCGTTAAGGCTTATACTATGGTGGTCTATATGCGGGCGCTAGAATCATCAATGCTGCAGGGTAATTGGCTAAACGTGCGATATATACGAAAGTTCAAGGAATATACGGAGTGCTTGAGTTGTATGTCTCGATCAGTTCCCTCCTGCCAGTGGAGGAAAGGTGTATGGTACGGTGTACGACCAAGCTATGTGGGCAGCTGGACGTAGCAACAGGATCAGGTGACTATAGTCGGTTGTGAATGGATCTACCGACTATCCGTCCAGCAAATCTCAATCGCATGGCCCTCGACTTCCCCGTTGAAACAACCGTTCACTACGATCTTTTTCTGACATGTCACAGCCCCCTCCAGAACATCAGACTTCACCGTCGCAGCGACTGCTTCATACAGCTCATACAGCGCCAGGTTCCTGCCGATACACGATCGCGATCCCAGACCAAACGGGAAGAAGCACTGCTCGCGGCTCTCATCTGACACCTCTAGCCAGCGCTCCGGTCTGAAAGAGAAAGGATCAGGGAACGCGTCTTCGTCGTGATGCATGACGTATATCGCTGCTCCGACCGAGACTCCTCCCGGGAGGTATACTCCATCTACGTGACATCCACCTTCGGGAACGGTTCTGGTGAGAGGGGCAGGATTGGTCATGGCGAGTCGAAGGCCTTCGTTGACCACGGCCTTTAAGTACGGATAGCTCTGCAGGTCAGTTGATGCCGATTCGCGTAGTTCTTGATGGAGCCGTTTGCGAACGTCGCGTTGACGCACAAGGTGGAATAAGATGGTAGCCAGTGTCTGACCCGTCGAGCTCGTCCCCGCGAACAGCGATCCTCCACAGATCCCGATAACCTCGTCCTCGGTCGCTCCAGCTGCGGATAGACGGCCGTGGTAGGTGGATGTCGCTCTCGGTTCCTCTGCCACCACTGACTTGACGAATTCTCCAACGCGACGCACGGATGCGCCTCGAGCAGGATCCCAGAGGGAGGTGTGGATCAACAAGGCCTTTGTAAACAACCAGGGCGGGAGCATGGAGTAGTAGCCAAATGCTGCGATGGCCTGTAGCCAGGGACTCTCGGAGAACTTCCCTCGTTGTGAGCGATCGGTGGAATTTGAATCCTCGTCCAGCGCTCCATACGACCTGTCGAACATATAGCCCGCCATTACGTCCATCGACAGTCGCAAGGACAAATCCAATATGTCGACACGATGTGTGCCCGAAAGGGATTTTGCACCGTTCAACCGAGCGATAAATTTCTCCACGTATCGCTGGACATTTTGTTCACCCTCCGCTGCTCGTATCCTAGTCGGCGCGAACAACGGCAGCACCGCCTTGGCTCGCACATCGCGGTAGGCCTTATCGATGGCGGAAAAGATGGTGGGTTGCCCGTTGACGTCGAAGTTGCGATATCGACCGTCTTTTCGGAAGCCCCCGTTAGCCACATAAATGGTCTCCAAAGCCGTTGGGGCGGAGATGGAGACCAAATTCGGGGCAATGCGCAAAACTTGTGTGTTGTAACGACGATGGTAGCGCGCGAGGGTCTGAGGTTCGATCCCGAGGAAAACGATCGTCCACTGGGGAAGGGACGAGATGCAAAAGACCCAAGGCCCAGGGAGGTGCGATAGCGGATGCAGGGTGAGACGGTAGACCGCCACCGTGAGAAGGAGAAGGCACACAAGGATCAAGCCATCGGCCAGCATCGTGGTGACGACACTTTCATCTGACACGATCACAGGCAAGCAGCCGAGGATCTCACTCAGTATTCTGCGATTGCCCTTTGAGTGCTCGATCATCTTGTTTCATCGGGTTGATTTGAGCCCTGCCGATCAGTGTTACATCCGTCGAGCGGTGAGGTGGGATTCAGGGTGCTGGAACTCTATTCTCGCTCCCTCGCCTATTGCTCGCTGTGAATCAGTCTTCCATCACCAAGCTTTGGGATCGATGGCCAGCGAAGAAATGAGATGAAACTTGACGTGGAAATGATAAGGTACGACCGACCCATGGACCAGATACTCAAAGTCGAGATTAACGCAGTCAGGCTCGTGAGAGTGGATGCCCGGCCAATCCCGACACCAAAGTGGCTGCTAAAAATGGCCAGATAGCGCATTCCATCGCCGCAGTGCCTGGAAAAGGGAGCTGCATGCTCATCAAACACGAACCACCAAGAAATGGGAACGTTCCCCGCAGTCCGAGCGGGCAATCCGCGACGATCCCTGGCAAGAACCACGGGCCGACGAGCCAACCCCTGAAGCGCCCACGAGATCCGAGGTTGGCGATCCCAAAGACTGGTTTCATATGCAACTGGCTTTTGTATGAGAGTCGAAACTACATAAGCCCTGGCAACCCACCTCAGTTGCACTCATGACAGACACATCTCATCTATTCATCATGGCTACCCCAACTGGATTCATCGGCAACCTGACTCAGGATCAGGAAGCCAAACTGCAACAGCTTTGGTCGATTGTTTTGACTTTGCTTGATGTGAAGTCCCTTCAGAATGGCAATCCCGCCCCAGGACAACCCGAGCGCCAAAGCACGTCGCTCTCCCGGGCCGATACCGCTGTCTCCGCGAATGGCCAGGGGGCCTTTACGGAAGACTTGTCCCGAGTCCTGCAGAAGAACGGCATGAGCAGCGCCGACATCAAGGGTATCCGGGAGACGTTGAGCAACACGTCGATCGACGAGCTCCGCTCTGGCTTGCTGTACATCGCCAAGCATGATTCCCCGGACGTTCTCCTCCTTCGCTTCCTACGCGCTCGCAAGTGGGACGTTGGCAAGGGCTTCGGGATGATGCTGCGGGCGATGGTGTGGCGCCGGAACCAGCATGTCGACGACAAGGTGATTGCCAACCCGGAGTTGGACGCCCTGGTCACATCGCAGAACACGGTGGATACGGCCGCAGCCAAAGAGTGCAAGGACTTTTTGGATCAGCTGCGCATGGGCAAGTGCTACATGCACGGTACCGACCGGCAGGGCCGGCCTGTCCTGGTGGTGCGCGTGCGATTCCACCAGCCCTCGAAGCAGAGCGAGGCGGTGATCAACCGTTTTATTCTACACACGATTGAGACGGCGCGGTTGTTGCTGGCGCCTCCAACGGAGACAGTGGTATGCATACTTTCCCAAGGATTATCTTGACTTAGCTGATCAATCAGACCATCATCTTTGACATGACAGGCTTTGGTCTTTCCAACATGGTATGTGATTTTTCTGCAAATACATCACCGCCACTAACATGTAGCAGGAATATGCACCGGTCAAGTTCATCATCGAGTGTTTCCAGGAGAATTACCCCGAGTCGCTTGGCAACATGCTCATCCACAACTCTCCATGGGTCTTCTCCGGTAGGTTCACCAGTCTGTCCTCCCTGCGATCGACAGCATCTAACCCTCACAGGCATCTGGAAGGTCATTAAAGGCTGGATGGACCCGGTGATCGTGTCCAAGGTCAACTTCACCAGCAAGGTATCCGATCTGGAAAAGTTCATCGCGCCGGAACAGATCCCGAAGGAGCTCAAGGGCAAGGAAAACTGGGCCTACGAGTACATCGAGCCAGTGGCGGGCGAGAACGACCTGATGGCGGATACAGAGACCCGCGATCGCATCTTCGCCGAGCGCTTGAAGATCGGCGAGGACCTACTGCTCCGCACATCGGAGTGGGTGACCGCCAGGGATGGAGCTGCGGCGGCGACGGCTAAGAGCCAGCGGACGGCGACGATCGAGACCTTGCGGCAGAACTACTGGCAGCTGGACCCGTATGTGCGCGGGCGCACGTACCTGGACCGGGTTGGCGTGGTCAAGAAGGGTGGTAAGATTGACTTTTATCCCAGCCCGGAGGCGCCGGAGCTGGCGGCGAAGAGCAAGGGGGTGCAGCATTTTGAGGGCACCCAGGTCAAGGTGGTTGATTTGCGGTGATGATACCGCTTGAATGGTATCATCTTCATCAATTGGCCGGATGGTGTAGTTGGTTATCACGTATCGTTAACACCGATAAGGTCCTGGGATCGAGCCCCAGTCTGGTCATTGTTTTTGTTTTTTGGTGGTTCGGTTGGTGTTGGGGTGTTTGTTATTTGTACTAAACCGGCTAGCGCGCCTCTGGGTTGTCCAATCCGAGTCGCTTGAATCTAATTCTATTTCTTTTCATTTCACTTCATTCTTTCACATCTCTGCTGCCTAACCTTCCAGATACTCAAACCTTTTCGACATCACAAGATGCCGGCACACGACATCAGGCTGCCAGCACTGCCCGCACTGCCCGCACTGCCCAGCTGGGGCGGGGATCAGCCCGGCTTATTGGCGGTGGATATCCGGGATCCCCTGTGATCCAGGGGCCATTGGCGCCACTCTCGGATTTGCGCGCACTATCGATCTCCGCCAACCGATCCTCTACTTGGCTTGGCTTCCAAGATGTTGTGTTGTGATCGTCTGACAGACATTCACCTCGCGTCTATGAAGCGAGACTGATCGCTTCTAGACAACCATCTCCAGTCGACACAGTAGGCCCTGAGGCCTACGCAGTGCATGCAAATTGGTCCCTGTCTTGTCGATCGTTTCGGGACTATCTCAGGTACCCCCTTCTCTCATTGGCAGAAGGAGATTAAATCGGCACTATGGATGCTTCCAAATTCACCCTGCACAAACCGTGGAGCCCGCCCCTTCCAACACGAATGAGCGATCAGCTCGTCGGCCAGCTGAGCCCAGCTGAGGAGGGGTCGACCTATCAGACCGTGGCTGCGGCCTGATTGGTCCCGCGTCTGAGTGCCATCGCATTGGCATGACCAGCCAGGAGCTATTTATGCGGCCTAGACTCCTGTCGCAGCTTTCCCTGTAGCTGTTGCACACTCCGGAATGCTGGCCACCATGGGCTTCTTCGTTCGCGTGGTCGCGTCTTTTCTCCTTCTGGGGTTATCCACGGCGTCCACCCTCCGCCAATGTCTTCTCACTGCCGTGCAGAATGACCCGACTCTTGTCGCAGTCGATGGGGACCTGCTCTACCAGACTCTCGCGGTCAAGGTCTACAACCTCAACTGGCCCGTTACGCCAGCGGCCGTGACATTCCCCAAGTCCACTCAGCAAGTCGCCGCCATTGTCAGCTGCGCCGCGACGCTGGGCTACAAAGTCCAGGCCAAAAGCGGCGGCCACAGCTATGGCAACTACGGTACCTCCCCCTTTTACTTTTTGACTTCTCAACTAACCAACCTCCACTAGGCCTCGGCGGCACCGATGGCGCCATCAGCATCAACCTCGAAAACATGAAATCGTTCTCCATGGACTACACCAACTACCAAGCCACCGTCGGCGCCGGTATGCTCAACGGCGAACTCGACGACTACCTCCACGACGCCGGTGGACGCGCCATCGCACACGGCACCTCCCCACAAATCGGCGTCGGCGGACACGCAACAATCGGCGGACTGGGACCGACGGCCCGACAATACGGGATGGAACTCGACCACGTACTGGAAGCAGAAGTCGTCCTCGCCAACGGCACCGTCGTGCGCGCCTCCGCAACACAGCACTCGGACCTGCTCTTCGCCATCAAAGGCGCCGGCGCCAGCTTCGGCGTCGTCACCGAATTCGTCTTCCGCACGGAGCCCGAACCCGGCACCGCCGTGCAATACACCTACACGTTCGGCCTGGGCAGCACCGAATCGCGGGCCAACCTCTTTAAAAAATGGCAAAGCTTCATCTCCCAACCCAATCTCAGCCGCAAATTCGCCAGCATCTGCACCATCCTCGAGGGCAGCATGGTCATCTCGGGGACCTTCTTCGGCACACAAGCTGAATACGACGCCCTGGGTCTGGAGGAGCAATTCCCGGGCCAAACCAACTCCACCGTGATTGTCTTCACCGACTGGCTCGGTCTGGCAGCCCACTGGGCGGAGCAATCCATCCTGGACCTGACCGGCGGCATTCCCGCTGACTTTTACGCCCGCTGTCTCTCCTTTACCGAACAGACCCAGATTCCATCCACCGGGGTTGACCAACTCTTCGAGTACCTCGACACCGCAGATAAAGGGGCACTCATCTGGTTCGTGATCTTCGACCTGGAAGGCGGCGCCATCAACGACGTCCCCATGGACGCGACCGGATTCGCCCACCGTGACACGCTCTTTTGGCTGCAATCGTACGCAGTGACATTAGGGCCCGTATCCCAAACGACGTATAATTTCCTCGATGGTGTCAACGAGGTGATTCGGAATAATACCCCGGGGTTGGGGAATGGTGTGTATCCGGGGTATGTGGATCCGCGGTTGCAGAATGCGCGGGAGGCGTATTGGGGGTCGAATCTGCCCCGGTTGGAAAGGATTAAGGCGGCGTATGATCCGAGCGATTTGTTTAAGAATCCGCAGGGGGTGTTGCCTGCTGCTGGTGCTGGTGCTGGTGCTGCTGTATGAGGTGGTCTGTGTTGGTATACATATCCTTTTTCAATTTACATATATCAGTTCTTTGTTATCATCACATTCGACATCCTGATCTTGAAATCTTCTATGACTGAATTAATTTAACTTCAATTTCACCCATCTCCGTGCTTGTATCATATGTTCTAAGTATATATACCCTCAACATCTCACCTATATTATAAAACCCCCTCTATATCCTCATCTCCATCTAACTATCCGTGTAGAAAAGGTATAATCACAACCTCGCCACCGTCCCATCCGGTTGAATCCTGGCCAGCGCAGCGGGAGTTAATATCCGCTAGGGTCCGACACCCCGTCAACTGCATACAGCACTTGAATTCATCGTCGAGGATGTCCAGCACGCGCGAGACACCTTTTTTCGCCGTCATACTATACCAATTAGCATCATCGCCCAACCGAACATAAAATAAGTGAACTAACTGTCAGGGTGAAACAGAGAGAGAAAGAGAAAGTGGGTGGGTGGGGGAAAATACCGCCAACCCCCAAAGCACCGGCAGGGCCTTAAAAATATCCGCCCCCGAGCGGTATCCCCCCATCCACATGAACCCTAATCGTCCCCTCCGCAGCCCCGCACACACTCCGGCAACGCATCCACCGTCGCAAGCACCCCCATCCAACTGCCTGCCCCCCATGATTACTCACCACGACCCCATCACACCCATACTCCCTCGCCAGGAGGACATCCTCCGCCGTCAAAACCCCCTTTCACCCAAACCTCCATTCCCCGTGACGCTTCGTAACCAGGGGATCTTCCCGCGCCCAGGAATGCGCATCCGAGTTCGCGGCCGTGAAACCACTATCGTGCGTCTGGGACTGGAGTTCCGCGGAGAGTGAGATTGAGCATGGGCCAGGCGAGACTGGGCGGAGTGCGGAAGTCCGTTGCGGAGTTCGTTGTAGCGGAGGCCGATGAATGTTCTGTACAACTTCACGACGGCCGTTATAAGCAGGAAAAAGGCAAATGGTGGCATTTCTGCTATATGAAGAAAACCCCGCTAGTCACTTAAGCCTGACCACTTGTTCAAGACTAGCCGGGGAGGAAGAAAGTGAACTTAAGTACCGTATGATAGGGGGAAAGAGTCATGTATACTCATCCAAAGGGTATCCAGCAAGCAAGTCTTCACTTAAAAGCAGCCATCCTACCCGCCAACCGGTAGGACGCATCTCGAAAACATCATTGAAAACCTCGATATCCGCCGGTATGGGGCCGGTCAGATTCGAATGCAGGCCCCTTCACACCTCGACCCAATGGCGGAGGTGCCAGGTGTAAGGCATGCATCCACTGGGCGTTCGTTCTATGCATCGGGGCCCTCCGGCTACGCCATCTCAGGGGCTGGGTCTTGGAGTATGCTCCGGGGTGGAAATCCCACGCTCCGCTTATGACTTGGCACCTCGGTGATTGGGTGCCTGTCACTGAACAACATATTCATGCTTCATGACATGCACTGGCACTTCATGTCATTGAGCAAGCAGAATATAGAGCCTGAATGGCAGGGATGAATCTAGGTGCAAGTCATACTAGAATTCACGCAATGCTCGCTCCGGAGAGACTCATTTGAACACTGTGGCACATTAGCAATTAGCATCGGTTGCAGGGAATTTTTGCCTTGAAGATCAGTCCGCTTGTCGGACAGTGTCTACTGATCAGAGCCTTCTTGCATAATACGCTGACTGCATCACCTCTGCTGAGAGTTTTTTTTCATGATTCACTCCGCTGACTTTGGCGTACGCGGCAACCATCCCGCGCCAGCTAACAGATCCGGCGGTAGGCTTCTGCCACCATCGAGGCATTAAGCACCACCGAGGATAATGAATTCACAAATTGGTATTAGATTGTCTATCGTCAAATGAGTCTATCTCTATTCAGCATCCGCCTAGTCTTAGTGATGTGTCTAAGCCTACGGGTTATGTATCTCTACATCTCATCGGCTGTCAGCTGCTCAACTCAAAAGCCCACTCGACCGACTGCGCTATCTCTTCTGCAAGCCGTCAGCTCGGATCGGGAGATGAATAAGATCTAACGCACCCCTCATTCCATTCAGTGCTTCAAATGCAATTGCATAATTCCCCAGGGTCTTGGACACCAACCGCAGGCTCTGTCGCAACTCGTCCAAGAATCCTCCCAGGGATCGACTGCCCGAGGTTGACTCGTCTCCCACCGGCTCATGCATCGCCCGGGCCTTCAAGCACAGCATCAGCATCGCGTAGCTGGACTGCATGGCGCAACAGGCAAACGTCGGCATCGTCCGGGGAATCTCCACCCGCGAATTACGCGACAGGTAGGGCGGTCGTGTCAACGGGATCTCGTTCATCGGATTCGGGTACGGCAGGTTGTCGAGCAGGCTGACAATGTTGAGCGCGGCATGGAGGCAGATCTTCGAAGACGCGTGGGCGGAAAACGGAAAGTCAACCGTCGAAGTCTCGGATAGCATGGATGACAGGAGACTGTCGGGTGTGGATGTGGCGGATTTGGAGACTCCGACGCGGCAGCACTGGGGCCCAGCTGCAACCAGGTCGCAATGGCGCTTGCGGAAGACGGGGACATCCTGGAAAGCGCAGAATCGGTGGGTTTTGATCCTCGCACTGAAAGGGTCAGCCTGGGTCAATGCAAGAGATCAGCAGCCATCTACCTGTGTAGTTTGATCTCCGCAATGTAGTTGATCGCATGTAGGGCGACCACGTCCGGCGAGTCTTGGGTGGGAATGGGCGGCATTTTGTTCACACCACTACTCGATACTCTGCACGGATGCAGCAGGCAGGTTATTTGGTTGTCAAGGTCCATCATTCGCTGGGACACCCAGGACGCATTGAACTGGGACTTGGTGGTGAGATCTAGGTCGTGCACAAATGTAGTGGCTTCGAGGATCGTTTGCTCAGCTTCGATGAGAAGTTTCCATCCCTGCACGGTCAGTCCAGTTCAGCTATGGGGTATAGTACTCACCTCTGGAATCGGTGTGACGAAGCGAGGATCATACGGGTTGATCGCGGGAGGCTATCTCTATTAGTCTCCAGATTCATACTAGGCGTACTACTTACCATTCCGCTAACAATTGATCCCTGACAGACAGTCAAATACTTGATGATGTTAGCGCAGCTCATCTAATGTCCAGGCAAACGGACCGTAATCCACCAAGCCCTTCGACGGGCCTCGGAAAACTCATCCTCATCAACCATCTCATGTAGCGACATGCTCATCGCGGCCGTCAAGGCTTGCCCCGCCCGGTTGCACATCTTGTTGATGTTCCCTCTCTGCGCATACTCGTATACACTCAACAGCACTAATGCCAGAACCGCTTCGAGGCAAATGGGCACCTTGCTATGGAGGCCCACGCGTTGAAACTGAGGTATTCCATCGGAAAGAGCTTGCGACGGATCCGAGGAAGAATCGAGCAGCTCGAGATCTGCTTCGACGGCTTCGAGCGCGGATTGCGCAAAGGAGTGAGCAAGGTCTCTGCGCAGCTTCACATACTCCGTTCGTGAGGGTTGTTTCACCTCCGGATGTGGGATCAAGGCGAGGATCGCTGATATGGCAAGGCCTAGCGGGCTTGACGATCGAAACGTCGACTTTTCGGACAAGGGACGATTGTGTACCGGCACCCGTTCTGGAGGAGGCAGGATAGGATAGTAGATGTGGATAAAAGCGTAGTAGGCATCCAGTCTACACTGTTAGAGGAAATCAACCCGATCCGGATGGCTCTTACAGATCCTCGTTGCTCCCATAGGTTTGCAGCCAATCCGGGGGTGGTGGTCCGGTCATTTCCGGCACCATGGGCTGTTCATCAACTGTAAATATCGAGTCGAAGATCTGTTCCATCTCCGTGACGGAGTTCTCGATGCTACGCAGGCCAGCGCCGGGTGCGCCCAGACTCAGCAGCTGGTTCAGCCAGCCTGACGATCATCAGTAGAGATCAGCCATACAACCACCGGATACATACCATCCTCATCCGAGCTAGACGACGGTCCGTCGACACTGGAGTGGTCTCTCCTCAGGCCCTGATAATCTTCATCCCTCACATCCGAGACGGTAGTCGGGGGCGTTGATAGTCGTTTGCGTTTGCGATTCTGACAGTTCCGCGGACCGCCTCGTTTACTAGGCAGATAGCAACAGACGGTATCTTTGGCAATACAATTCGAACATCTTTCCTGTCCATCACAACGAACCCGCAAAGTCCGACTGTCACCGTAAGCTTCACGTATAATCACGGAACCACAACAAACATACCAGGACAAACAGGCCACCTTGACAGGAGGTTTGCAAAACCTGCGATGGCCGGGACGAGTGACGTCAGCAACGGTCTTGGGGGAGGTCATTACAGGCAGGGTTTGAATCCATCACCGTCCGGGCTGGGGGGCTGGAGGGAATGTCGCCGAGTTAGATTTATGCAAAACCCGTGGGGAGCAAATCCCGACCAGGCAAAGCCCGGTCGATCGCCTCCCTCACGTCCCTCCACCGGATCGAGATCCAGTGGGGGAGATCGTATGATCCCGGGTGGAGCGACCGACCCCGGTAACCATGGATTATTGGTGTCATTCTCAACGTCTCGGGCGATGGAAGCAAACCCCGGACCGGCAGCGAATCCGAGCCACGCCCTGGGTTGGATCCTGCGGGGATACCCAGTCCATACCAAGAGGCGAGAAAGTCTGTTCAAATGTTGATGTAGATGATTGATAATGTACCAAAAGGGAGAGTAAAATGGGAAGAGAAAGGAAAGACGAGCGAGGGGGAAGAGGAGGGGGGTAACAAAGAAAGGAACACAGAACCGGGAGAAGAGTTTGCACGCCGGGTGGAAATACCGGTCGGCCCAGACAGGTCCTATCTGCGAAGCCGTGTCCTAAGGTGTCACCCATTGAGCAAGACACGTAGATTTGGATGGAAAATAGCCAGGACTGAAGCTAAATCAAGAAAGAGATTCTTTTTCCAGTAAAAAAGAAAAGAGCAAGGAAGAGCACGTTATACAGGTATACCGTGTGTCAACAAAATGTCGGTAGGTAATTCTTCTATTCATGTGGTTCTAATGTACAAATGGATAATCATCATCCTCTTCATCAGTGCTGGAGTGGAGAGGGCATGGCGATTCGAGTGCCAGGGATTCTTCTAGTTCTCCGAATCCGCAGCAGCAGCGTTCAGTGCATCCAAAGGAGCCGACAGTCCGACCCGGTCAACCGTCCGGGTGTATGCAACTCCTCCGTTCACACGGTCCTCGTGAACCACCAGGTCCTTGCGGTTGGTGTCCACCAACAGCCGGATCAGGTCGGGGCGCATGTAGTGGCCGCCCTGTGAGGTATTAGCAGGGCCCGGGAATTTTTCTCCAAAGAATACTTACAAAGTCAGCCAGAGACTTGGAAAGCTGGCATTCATCCAGGTCGATCTATGATCAAAGTCAGTACGGGGTAGTTACATCCTCACTGGGCAACAGACTCACATCAACAAACAGAAGCCCTTCAAAGTCCTTATCAGGGTGAGGAACAAGGTTCTGGCCGTCGGGACCGAAAATGCGACCGTGTCCGTTGTAGATGTGAGGATCCTCCAGCTCCTTGCCCGGGGGAGTGTTCAACTTGATTCCCTCGGCGGTAATCGTCTGCCACGGCGCCAGAGTGAAGGTGCCGGTCTCAATCGCATAGGCGGGAGTGACAAGCTGTGCGGTCTCATCAGCCCCTCAGACATCAACGCAAAAATCATCATAAAGGAAATGCTTACGTCGGCGTTGGCCTCGGCCACGTTGGTGAAAGGGTCCGGGTACTTCAACGTCTCCTTGCCGGGGTACAGAGGCCAGGCAGCAACGTGCACCTGCTCTCCAAGAGAGGCGGCATATGCCTTCATGAAGGGGTTCATGTTCTCCCAGCAGTTGAGGTGGCCGACACGGCCGATATCCGTCTGCATAACCGACTCGGTGGTGTCGCCGGTGCCATCGCCGAACACCAGGCGCTCGACATGGGTGGCTCTGATCTTGCGACGGTGGTTGATGATGTCGCCCGAGGGGGAGATCATGACCTGGGTGGTGTACAGACTGGCCAAGTCGACCTCGGAGTAGCCCAAAGACACGTAGATCTTGTTAGCCCGGGCGGCGTTGCGGATCCGGCGCATCTCATCCGAGTCGGAGGGAAGGCTGTTCTCGCGGTACTTCTTCAGCAGAGGCAAGCTTTCCTGGTAGTTGACCTTCCACGCCCAGTAGGGGTATCCGGGAATCCCTGTGTTGTTCAGCTAGGCGGCTTCACGAATCGGTGCGGAATGTCATACAGAGCTCAGGAAAGGCAATGAATTTGCATCCGGCCTTGCCAGCCTCGTCAATCCAGTGGATGGTCCGGCGGACGGATTCCTCCAGGTTGAACCAGCCGGGCTCAGCATTGACAGCTGCGGCCTTGTACTTCTTGAGGACGGGAGCCATGGTGGTTGATGATGTGTTCTTATGAACGGTGATGTAGGCAGTGAGAGTTGTTGAGAAGGTTGATCTTGCTGTTGATGATGGGAGTGATGAAGGTGAGGGACTGTCCCTGCTTTATAGCTTGGACAGATGCACCGTGCGGCATCTCTATCAACAATCCCCTACTCATCCTGATCATTTGATCCGGAAGCCACGGAGACGGTATTTGGTGTCTGCTCTTCGGATGTGTGTCTAGAGGTGTACATAGAGCGTTATCTGAAACGTCGTCCCATCGCTCCGGGATTTGACATGTTGATGGAACGGAATCAAGCGGTGCGGGAAGGACGGAGCCGTCAGGTTTCGCTGGGATGCGAAGGTAGACCAAACCAATCAGTGTCTTCAATGCTCAATCTAATCTGCAGGCAAGCATGCGGATTAACGGAAAGTCTGAGTTTACACCTTAAGGTTAATCTGCCGTCCCCGTCCCGTTCTTAGCGTAAAGTCTCGGACGATAACGGCAGCCGGGATCTGATAACCCATGCTGTGGATGAAGTCAGATACCAGCACGTTATTGTGGGGAAGAGCCGTCGGTGGAGGCTTGCAGCAAACCCCGGCCGGAGCAGGCGTGTATGAAACCCGACTTGGATCATGCCACCCGCGGTTGCAGATCAGCCCGGAGATATCTCGGGCATGGTTTCCTTGAACCGCGTTCGGAGGTCTTATGAAGGTCTCAGAGGGACAATGTATAGACAGTAGATGGAAATTATTAGAATTCCGAGGTTTCCAGTAACAACAATATCGACAAGAGGCTCTAGGGACGGACCAGGAGCTAGGTTACCCCATACCACTGGGGCGTAAGACAAGATTGTGCTTCGTCAAGGGGCCTGGAGGTATACAGCATGGCATGTCTTTGGAACCTCCTTTCTACCTCGCCGTGTGAAATAACCGCGGGTTCAACCCCCCCCAACATTGCATTGTTGCAACCGCTCCCTGACAGAAAGCCTCCTAGGCGATATCAGAGGGGGTAATGGGATCGGCTGCACTCCCATACGGGTGAAATCGATCGTTGGCATTTCAGGTCGGGACATTAAGATGAATTCATGTGGCAGGCGGCGGTATTTCTTTAGAGATGAATGAGTAGGTAGGATATGTCCGCTGAAGCAGCATTCAATTGTGGAGCCAGTCCTGATTTATCATGTACATTCTTTGATTGCGGTTGTAGGATACCAAAGTATATGGCAGCTGATGGCGTTTTCTCGAAGGAGACTCTTCAAAGAAAAGGACTGAATCGGAGAGTTCTACGTCTCATTGTGTCTTCGTTCTCGTTAAAAGCATAGTGTTATAAGCGACGACGAAAGCCTTGGAGGGATTTAGGATAAGATTTCTTCCCATGTTGAGTATCTTGTGACTTTTCAAGTAAAGTATGACAACTAGTAATTTTCGCTTTGGCCGGGGTGTATGATATTAAATGGGCCGAAACCTGACCATTCAGGCCTCTAGAGCGACGTACCGAAATAGATCGTTATGGTAAAAAGAGAGGGACATATGTCACGGTCCGAAAGATCTGTTGGCTTGGCAATTGATGGTTCGAGGTGTTACAACTGAACAAGCGCTCTCATCGTCGATGTAAGTCAATAGATGGTACTAAATACATGATTCTCGGCCTGGTGGATCTATCATCTTGCTTGACATTGAAACAGAGCTGGAAAAAACTGTATCAAACTCCCCGATGTTGACTTGGACTGGCGCTTTACAAACAAAGATACGGAGTACGATACGTATCTCTCGATTCCAACCAATCATGAGGCAAGACACGTAGACGCCCCGAAACACAGTTTCAGACTGATAGCCCGGCGCCAATCCGGCCTCCAATGGGTTCGCTCATCTTCTTAAGGAGTCACAGCTCTATGCTTCAAGACAAAGCTTATTGAAGTGTATCTAGCCATTGTTCCAAACCATTGCATTTCTCTGCTCGTGGGGTGTCTGAACTCATATTCCCGTCTTCCTCTTGCTCCTCCTCATCACTCTCCACGTCATCCGCAATTCCCTCTAGCCATGCATCCTTATAGAGCTCCCCCGGAGGAAATCCCTCCCCACTGATGATGAGCCAATGGAAAATGTCTAACGATGCCTCCTCTGAGGCTTCCTGATCGAGTGGCCTGTGAGGAAATTGTTGTACCCCTTCCGATCGGAAACGATCAATATCCGGCGTAGTAGGCATAGTAACTCTTCTTGTTGAAAACCCTTTGTCGTAAATGGCCGGACTATTCTCCGGCTCCCAGCTCCAGTGTTGGTAATGGAGTTGATGTCGTGGACAATTCCAATGGGAGGCGACTCGGAGGGCACAATCGCGCGCCTCCATCTTCCCACATGGCTCCCAAGGTGTGCGTGGTGGGTAATTGTACGAGAGATCATCTTCCTCGGTAGTAGGAAGGTGAAGAAGTCGCCAGACATCAGCTCTCCATATCTTCTCATTGCGTTGACCGTGGAAATAAGGCCCTGTGCCAGCAATGTCCATGAAACTTTGCGGACTGCCAGTCCAAGGAAAAGCAACTGGGTCCAGAGGGGGTCTGCCACGTTTAGCTCTGCGGAGGATTATCGGGGCTAAACCCCCAGCTACAGCTCCAAGCCAAAGTGCAGATATCGTGGGCCGTCGAATGCCACAGACAATGGCCAATAGTTCTGCGTAAAGGCCTGGTAGATCCGCAATCCTTTTCTCCTCTGGCACCTCAATCAATATAGGATGTAGCCACGGACTAACAAGGTTGCACGGCACACCTGGCTCCCAAAACGCCCCACACAAAGAAGATATTATAGTTTCGGGGTTGCAGCTCAAGGTAATGTAATAAGGAAGGTTCTGGTACAGCCTGACCCATTCAGGGGGCATGAACTTTGCTGGGGTAGCTGAACACCGGGCTCCTGTGAGTGTTGGCTCGGGAAGTTGAATCGTGGAGCCATGGCAGTTATGCGTTGGCACTGTAATGGCAGTTGCAAGAGCAACGTGAAATTGACTGCCCAGATTGTGCATCAAAGCAAAGCGAGAAAGAGCATCGAACGCCCTGCTGGATGACATGGGCGTAGGAGAAAAATTCGGGGTGGCCGTCTTTCTCTGCCATTTAATTGCGAGTGACTGCTGTGATGTACGTGTAATTGACCACGGAGCAAGAAAATCTCCATCATCACACTGCTTGACAATCCCTTTCCAACCATTGCTAGGAGCCAGGATTGCCAGCCACCATGATATTGTGTCGTCGTCGGCCTCACCAATATCGATTACATGTTTTGCGGTTTCATGGGCAGCCTGATCATACACGGCCGCTTTCGATGTTGTATATTCCATCATACCACCCCTCCCCTGGATCTCAAGTAGGCGAGCGGAGAGTATGTAGCACCACCCCAGTGTGAGTATTGCCAGGTAATTCGGACCGACGGCCACTTCATCTTCCGTGCCCATCCACTGGCGAAATCCATTGCCACTGAGGGTATATGGGACCGGAGCCTTCGTACCTAACTGCAAGAGCACGGGGTTTGATTTGTGCCTTTGGACACGATCGCAATCTGTAGATCCATCCAGCTGCCAGCTAACGGATGCTCGAAAGAAAAGCAATTGACAAGGACATGCGCCCATATAAATCGCATACGTCGTATGGGGTCCGCCATGCATTCTGGGGACTTTCCAAAGCATGTGGTGGGGATTCGCAGATTCTTGCTTGACGCCATGATCGCGATAATTACAAGCAACTGACGCGATAGAGTACCAGTATAATCTGCTTTTCTCCAATGCATCTTCTAGCTGTTGTTTGCTTGGTTGAAGCGCGTCACTGTCAGCGACAATCTGTAGACATCACATCTGGTCAGTAACGAGGGAGGGCAGTCCAGATGAGAGATAGGGAAGAAGCAAAATATTATTATATAATAGAGCTATTCTGATGGAAAAATATACACTGACCCAATGTAGCTGTGGCGGACTTAGGTCATGGAACTGTCGCTGGCTGGCATCCTTCTTCTGGGCTCCGTTTTCACCCATTTTCGGAGCCGCCTCAGAATCTGACAGACAGTGAACAGACGGTGCCATTTCTGATAATGAAACAAGAATCTTAAGATCGCAGTTTCGAGTCCAGGGATATTGGGCTCGTAGCAGAAGCTTGATAGATGATTAAGTCATTTAAGAAACCAAGGGGCTGACAATGGTGATCCCTCATGTTTGTAGGCCGGAAGCTCCAGTCAGGTGATGGACCGTTCTCACGTGCTCTGAAGAAGGCTCCTGTTTTGGCCAGTGACGTATCGCATTACCACAAGTTATATAAGCATGGGGATAAGGTTAGTATGGCCATGTTTGAACGTAATGGAAAGCAGGGACTTCTTGTAGCCATACGGGTACAATGGCTCAATTCACCAACCATTTCTGACTTTTCCAGTTTCTCCTGGTTTTCTGTGTATTCTAGATAAGGGAGCGGTATGTATGTCTTAGTGGGTTCTTCACTACTACTATTTGCTTTTATAAGAGAGTTCAGGTCCCTTGGACTTTCTACATAGTCTGCAATGAATATCCAAAGCTCCGGGGGAAGCTGAGGAGAACCATGCGGAGTATTCAGATGCTTGGGATGCAACCGACAGTTCGACATATATGAAAAATTATGCTTAGAATCTAGTCAATCGTGTCTATTCGCGACCATTGAGAAGTTAGGAGATGGATGTGGAGGTCTGGGATATGCCACCGAACTCGATGATTAGCATGCTAAAGCGGGAGTATTCCTGCTAGACAGCTAGGAATATTCCTACCGCCTGATCAACACATCCGATGTTAAAGCCTGGGATAGGACGTAACAGAGTTAAATATCAAGAAAGACAACAATCACCGGCCATAGCCCTGAGGAGGTAAAGCAGACCATAACGGCCATCAGGCAATTCCATTCTTTGTTACGGACGCCTCTACGATCCAAACCATCAGCACAATCATCAGAGTTCTCGGATTCCCCGTCATTTGAATTTGGCACGTCTTTATCTGCCCATTGGTTAGCCTGATATAGTGCTGCATTGTTAGGCTGTAGTTGTAGGCCAATAGATCTGGGACAGCAAAAGTTCTTTACCAACAATGGACAATGTTTTACAAAGGACTTCGAACATATGCCTGGTCGCAATTTGACGCACCAGTTCCTCGGAGCAAGCACAAAGACTTAACAACGGAAGGTTTCTTCACACAACGCTTTGTCTGCCAACAATATATCGGATCCTTCTAATAGAGTTCACCCATACGGAAGATACATACGTCTCGGTTTCAAAGTTTCGATTACTAATTTAGGCAGTCAGGGGGCCTATATAATGGTGCTTCTGCTCCTCCATCAGCTGCTTGGTCTTTGTACCTAATCTAGATGATTAGTTGCATTACATTCGCATACGCATTTTATCATCGATCCTCGTGTTCTTACCCAAATTCAATTATTTATTCACCGGCAAAATGTCGCTCCTTCACTTACCACCAGAGTTGATAGAGTCGATTGCAGAATATCTAACACGCAAACAAGACCTCAACGCACTGGCTCAAGCTAGCCAAGATCTTTATCACATCGTCAACCCTATTCTCCACATGGAAGCTCTTCGCACTCATGGGTTTTCTATTGTATTGCCATCTGGGCTGCTCTCGAAGGTCGATTGTCGACGATCCAGAAATTACTGGCGCACGGATGTGAGCTTCCCCTGCCCAATGATACTCTGTACTCGCGTCCTTGGTTATCAGAGGATGGTGGACATCTCGAGACTATAAGATGGCTGAATCACCAGTCTGAGTGGAATCACCCCATTGTATATGCGGCGAGAAACGGCCATGTGGACATTGTGGAGTTTTTTCTCGATCAAGGAATCATCAACCTGGATTATCGCGCTGGTAATCAGTTAACGTTACTTCATATTGCCTGTTCGAACGATCAACTCCCCTTAGTCCAATGGCTGGTCGAAAGGGGTGCGGATATCACCGCCCTCGACATTTAGCAACAAACACCATTCAGCACCGCCGCTAGATCAGGAAAGCTCGCAGTCGTTAAATATCTGCTGCCGTATCTGAAGAAGCAGCATCCAGATAGCTTCCTCAACGAGTTGCGTGGAGCACTGATATCATCTATATACTCTACACGTACGGCAGCCCCTTTCCAAAGTCATAGCACCTTCACCTCCATGTTTGACGATATAATTAACGGGGCTGTTTATCCCGACGATAAACGAGTGCTTTCCTCGGTTTTTGACAATGTTGCCCTGCCGCTAAACAATGATAGGTCCTTAGAAATCCTGGACAAGGCTGCTCGGACGGGCAACGTCAACATGGTCGAGCTCCTGTTGGAAAAGTATCCTGAATTCGAATGCAATTTGGAATCTTTGATGCTCGATGCTGCACAAGAAGATCAAGACGGGTTAGTAAGTTTATTGCTATCGAAGGGCGTCGACCCCAACTGCAAATGTCCAGAAGAACAAATTTCAGCACTCTCATATGCAGGAATGTTTGGATGTTTGCGCACCATCAAAGTTCTTCTCGCAGCAGGCGCAAATATGATCGATCATGATAAATGGGGAGATACGCCCATATGGTATGCTGAAACCTATGGTCACCAAACGGTGTTGGATGCATATGAGGAGCATGATCCAGAAAGCTACGCCGACCACGTGCATACGGAATCTGAAATGCGGATGCAGATGTAGATGCACATATAAACCGAACAATCTCCTTGTACGCCATATTTCGGGGGGAAGGGACCTGGACAGGTATCAATGGAACCTACCTCGTCTTACTATCACTCTAGATCGAGTAGTCTGTATCAGCATGTACGTGCAATGAACACATGGCTTTCTTATCTTCCACCAGACGAAGTAGACTAGGCCAGCTCGTACATCCAAAAAGTAAGATACGAGTTGCAGATACACACTGCAAGCCCCGCTATGTACCCAAGGATTCAACTGCCGGGATTCCACCCTGTTTCCTGCAGGTGTTGGAGGGCGAGACTCTGGCGCTGAGCCAATCCCAACCCCGCAAAAACTCTTCTGGTCATGCTCTGCTCAGGGCCCGCCGCCAACGTGTCAAGCCAAGATGACAAAGGATCGGGAACTGACTTCCGGTGGATCGTATTCCTCCATCCGGTTAATCTCCCCCAAGGTTATCATTAGTGCAGTGCAGCATATGAGCCATGACTCATCCCAGGAATTGATAGCTCACTTCCGCACTCAGCCTAAATCGGGATTGTACCCTCCGGCACTTACAAATCTTTTCAGTATGACGGCACTTGCTCTAGCAGGATGTTATATTTTCATTCAAGCTGTCCCCTCGCGTTTATTGCTAGGCAAGGAGGGTAATCTGACTGTTCTTCTCTCCCCACATCATGTCTCTGGTGCAGACTCTCCACTACGAGGTGGCGGCTCCCCCACCGTCCTTGTCGCATCCCGCAATTCCTTCCCCTTTGCATTCCATCCCCCCAACACCGGCCGAGGACGCCCAGGATCCTCTCAATGCTCCCCTCCGGCGGAATCTGGCCCCTACAGAGGGCCAGGCGGTCTTTGAGCGGGCGCCTTCGGTCCAAATCACACAATCCCGTCGTTTGGCAATCACCGTGTTGCTTATTCTGGCCAACCTCGTACAGGTACCGATTCCTTGCACTCATAGCCACAAGACAATGATGCTAATGGAATAGATGACCGTGAGCTTCTCTGGGATGGCGGGGGGTACCCGGCTTGGGGAATCCTTGGGGGCCAAGGCGACATCTGCCACCTGGGTCGGTGCCAGTTATGGGTAACAAGCCATAGACCAAGAGGTTTCTCCCGTACTCTAACCTGTATAGTCTAACACAAAGAACATTTGTCCTTGTCAGCGGGCGACTAGGCGATGTCTTCGGCCATCGGGAGCTCTTGCTGGTGGGCGGGGCTTGGCTGAGCCTCTGTACTCTGATCAGCGCTTTCTGCAATAATTTCATCGCCTTTGTCGCGATGCGGGCGCTCGCAGGCTTGGGAGGTGCCTTAATCATGCCTAATGCAGTGGCTATGATTACCAGCACCAATCCTCCGGGGCGTGTGCGAAATCTCAGTTTGGGGTTTTTTGCAGCGTCGGCGCCAACGGGTGGCTACTTTGGAGCCTTGTTTCTCGGGGCCTTTATGGAGAAGACGGAATGGAAATGGTTCTTTGTCTTTATGTAGGTTCATCCCCTGTGGACGACGCAGGTCTAACGAAGTATCCATGGTAGAGCCGCTATTGGCGTCGCCATCTTTCTCCCCTTGTGGGTATTGAGCTCTCGAGAACCTCTGCTCGACAAGCATGGCAAAATTGATTGGATTGGATCGGCGCTGGGAACAAGCTCTCTGATATTATTCAACTTTGTCTGGAAGTAAGTCGACCTGTGACTACTTCGAAAACATGCTAACCACCCTACTATAGCCAAGCCCCCAGCGTGGGATGGTCCACACCCTACGAAATCGCCCTCCTAATCGCCTCAGTCATCCTCTTCGCGGCCTTTCTCCTCTGGGAGAAGAACGGCACCAATCATCCCATCATGCCATTAGAGATCTTCCAAGCACCATCCATCCTCACTCTGCTCCTAGTCGTCCTCCTCAACTACATGGCCGTGGGCACTCTAATCTGGTACCAGATTCTCTGGCTCCAAGACATCTGGCACTGGTCGACCCTCCACTTCGCAGTCGGCTGGACACCGTTCGTCATCTGCGCAACCGGGGCCGCCTGTCTAGCAGCCTGGCTCATTCCCCGTCTCGCAGCACAATGGATCCTCGCCATCGGCACCACCACCATCCTCGTCTCCAACGCACTCATGGCCACCGTCCCTCTCCACCAAACCTACTGGGCCCAGGTCTTCCCATCCATCATCCTCTTCTCCTTCTGCCCGGACTTTGTCTACACGGCCGCGCAGATCATCGCCAGTAACTCTGTCCGTCGGAATCAGCAGGGCATTGCGGGCTCGTTGATCGGCGCGCTTAACCTCTACGGTGTTAGCTTGGGATTGGGGTTCTCTTCGACGATTGAAGACCAAATTGCTCGGCGGTCAGGGAGTCGGATCGAGGGGTATCGAGCTGCGTTGTACTTTGGGGTGGGTATTAGTGTGGTGGCATTGTTGTTGGATGTGTGCTTTGTGCGCATGGTGAAGGATGAGCGCGAAGGATGGCGTGAAGAGGATCGTGTCTTGGCTGATGCGGATGCCGATGCACTGGAGATGACGGGACATGCGGCGGCGACTGGTGCGGAGTGGCCTGCTCCGGTTGAGCGGGCTTAATGGGTAATGGATAGATAGATACGCTGCATTATCCTTTCGAGCTCTGCTTAGAGCGTGTGGAAGATCGTATTACCTGCGCAGTTCATTCTTTGACATTAAGTTTTGCTGTCCCAGCTAATAAAATAAATATTACCAATATACGAAACCGGCCCCATACATACATAACCCACCAATAACGACAGCCCAGCCAATCGACGAGGGAACTAGAAGAAAAGACGATATTCAGAAGAAAAATATTAGTGAGGACAAATATAAAAAAAAGCAAAAAGAAGATTCAAGGCCCGAGCCGCGGATCGAACGCGGGACCTCTCGCAGATATGCTTGGGTTTGAAGGCAGAAGCCATCCCTAAGCGAGAATCATACCACTAGACCACCCGGGCTTGATATATTCGGTGCGATTAGTTTTTGCTTTATAGACCGTAAGAAAGGTAACTGGTCATGAGTTATACACTGAAGCTTTTCAGTCGCATTCGTAGTGTCGTTGTGATAGAAGTCAATTTTTAAACTGCTGGCGTGTTGTAGGATTAAATTCTATGTCTTCTCCGTATCGAATGATCATATCGATATGGAATAAACTTCGCCCCATACCCGGATTGGTTGACATATATATTTCCGCGGAGTACGAAGCATGCAAAACTGGTGAGGTTTTTTGTCTCTTTCTTTTTGATGGAACAATTGGCACGAATTCTGGCATCACTACAGCCCAAGTCACACCTCCCACCAACCTCTCTTTTTTACTATCTATGGTAACTGCACTGCAAATTATCTAGTGTGCATAATCACTGTTCTTCCACCACTATCTATCCGTTGCGCTGAAGTGAGACATGAACTGTGGAGCCACGGGATGACCTCGGTGGGCCCCCCCTTCTGGTGGTTTTCTGGAACTCACCTTGCAACATTCCGCCATTGGCGCCTACTGCCAAGGGACTGCAGAAACCCGAGGTATCTAACTGCGCCTTGCCAGGCACCAGTGGGCCCATTGAAAGCGCTAAAAGATTTTTCTCCAAAGATTGGATGCACTCCCTATTTATCTCCATCACCGGAACCTGTTCCATTCCCGTCGACCCTTCGTGACCCTTTTTTGGCTGGAGACGACGGAGGCGACTTTCGTTGCCCGTGGGAAGTGGGTCAAAGCTAAATTATTAATAGCATAACTCGACTGCTGCGCACAAGCTTGTGGCAGATCTTTGCCTCTGCAGACCTCAATCCATGTGAAATTGACTTACCCACTATCATGCATGCAACTTCGTGCATGTCGTCAGCATGCTATTCACTCTACTCTTGTGGCCTCTATTTTTGCTGTCGGTGCAGGCTGCCTTTGTGCGCCGTTGGGAATGCGGTCCTTCGGATCAAAGTCTGAATGATCCTATTTTCCGGCAGTTGACTTTGGATGGTGCTTTCAAGTCGACGGACAATACGACAACGTTGAATTTGCAGCTAACCGGGCAATTTACGTCTCGTTCTTGTGACAGTCTCGATGGATCCTCGGCGCAGATGGTTGTCGATGCTAGAGTGCTGGGCCGTTCCGTAGGCTATCAGGGGCGGACTATGGGCACTTGTGTGGAAAACCTCTATCGTGACCATTCAAGGTGTGTTGTTACCGTCATAGCCGAGAGCTTGATAATGACGGTGGTAGGACGGGCCTGCGGGATTATGCGATCTACCAAACTTCTTATTATTTCAACCATACGTATGCCCTCCACACCTTGGATACCACCATCCGTCTCCGATTAGATGGCAGCGAGATTACTTGTGTCGCTGCTCATATAACACCATATATCGGCTCGACGGCATCTGTTCTCCTCAAAGCCGTTCCGTTTATTATTATGGTTCTATTTGGCCTAGCCACGGGCCCATTGAAGATCTGTCGTAGGAATGGACGAAGCATGTTTCGGTACGAGTTGGACGACTCGTCGAACGACCCAGCGCAGTCGCATGTTCAAGGACTGGGTGACTGCTTACAATACCTTCAATTTATCTTTCTGAGCGGCTCCCTGACACTCGCGTACCCTGGCTTCTACCAAGCGATCGTCAGCCAACTGGCCTGGTCGTCGCTCATCTTCAAGAATTGGCCTGTCACGCATCAGTTCGCCTACCCTGGTGTCATGGGTGGTTTTTACTCAACCAATTCAACCTGGGGACTGGAGGAGATGAGCCAGGTATTAGGTGGGACTACTTTGAGCGATCTCTGGGTTAATGCCATTGTCAACCTCATCCTGGTAATCCTCGGGACAGCAGTGATCATGCAAATCCCGTTCCTCAGCGAATGGATACCCAGGAGTTTTCGAACACGACAATCAGCTGCATTGTTAGATTTTCGGACAGAATCGTTGACCCAGTTCCAACGGACTGGATGGAGCGTGATCCGAACTGTGCTCGATCGCTTTCTCCTTCCGATAGTCGCATATTCCTCGTTCCAGCCAATGCTGGCATCGTGGTTTCCGGTGTATTGGACGTTTATGGCGGTCTCGTTTGTCGGCTTTCTTGCCGTGTCACTGGGATTTACTGTCTGGTACTTGGCCAAGAATGACAGACAGAGTGCCTTCTTTCGGCATACATCCTTCCCGCGACGTCAATCTCGAGATTGGTTCTCAAGTGCGTTATACGGTGTTCCTATCATAAGGGGCGTGGCTATCGGAGGGTTGCAACACTCCGGGCTAAGCCAGATCATCGTTCTCATAGCCTGCGAGGTTCTAATCCTTGGCTACATGCTATGGAATTGCCGGCATGGGCCAGTGTGGAGACATACATGCTTCTCTGTCGCGAGGCTGGCCAGCATCGCCATGATCTGTGGATTTATTCCCAACGCGGCCGTGAGCGAGAGGAGCAAAGGACTCCTGGCATACAGCATTCTCCTTGTGCATGCTGGTGTGTTGTTGCTCGGGTTTCTGGGTCCTTGCCTGGTTGATGTGGCCAGATTCTCCCTGCAGGAGATGGGACTCATCAAGTCTCCTGCGGATGACGTTGCACCGTCAAACCGAGCACCGGTACGTGGATACACCTGAAACAACCAACCCACGTCAATACTAACGTGGTGTAGGTCTTTGGCATCGGCCAACTCTCACACCGGTCGACGAGAAACATCTCCTTCACGGAGCTTCCCGCGCTCCGCCCTGCAGGTATGTCATGCACCCCATACCCCACCGCAAACCTAACAGGACGCAGCATACACCGATCGAACAGGAGTCTACGCGCCAGACCCCTATCCATCGTTCTTTCGTCCTCCCCGGCCTGGAACCCCCGGCTCCTCATCCCGTAGCCTGGCCCCTTCCAAACTCCCATCCCAGAGTGGAAGTGAATCCGGTGAATCGACAGAATCAAGCATGGACTCGGTGGATCTGAGTGTCCTCGACAGCGAAATAGGAACCGAGAGGAGCGATGTGGATTATTCGAAACGCGAGGCGGATCAATATTACGGTCGGCCGATGGTTGCCCGGAGGCCTGCTGATCCCGAGCGGGCGGATGAGCATCCGGCTTCGGCGGGAAGTTGGAGATGGCATCGACAGTCGAAGACGAAGGGGTTTGAGGTTTTGCGGCCGGGACGTCGTGGGTTGTGATTTCAGCAATATATGAATGAATTTAACCCCCTAGCTGCACTAGTTGATTCCACACCGGTCGAACTAGATACAGGTCTAGGCACCAGAAGCAACTCTACCTCAAAAGACCCCTACGAATAACCTGTCCATCTGAATGATAGATGACCGATAGGGCGATTGGGAAAGCCGATTGTTCTTAATTTCAAATATGTCACTAATCTCTACCACCTTACATGGGGTTAATACCAAAAGCCCTGGACAGAATAGCAACACATAACCAGGTCTTCATCTCATTTAATAATATCCTTGACAATCAATATCATGACCAACTCTCTACCACGAAGCTATCTATGTCCGCATACATCCCGCCCAATAACCAGCTGGGTACAACACATTCGCCTTCCCGGCCTGAATCAGGGAGTCGGTGTTGATGGTTAGCTTCTGGGGAGGTGGAGGGTCTCTTTTCATAACTTTAATGATGAGGATGGGAGGTCGAGAGAAGAGGTATACATTGTTAGCAAGATGATATCGGTGGATCAACTGGTCAAGGTGAATCTTAGGAACAAGACAAGAGTGGTGCAAGGTTGAGTCGGAGCAGGCACCGTGGGAGTATCTATTTTGGAAGACAAATAACGGAGGAAGCGAAGGGAGGGATAAGGCGTCAGCAAGGGGCACGCAATAGCGTGGCTGCATTCTTTCATGCGTATAGATAGGGATTATGGCTAGACATGATGGGACTGTACATACAGCGTATGTGGTGGAAATCTAAAATACTAATGGTGTTATCTACAGGGATTATGTTCTAAAACCCATTTACAGACAAGATAGTATGAAGTAGCTCCCTTTCGACCGATCTTCACCACTACAAGGGAGAATGCATCCATCACGGACAACCACCGCTAACATGCATCCCCGCCCAGCGATCATTCGACCACACTGCACGGGGCCCACTTCCGGCCCGACTCGAGTGTGATTACCCTGCAGCCAGCGAGTCAGCGTCCAGATCCATTCATAGTCCCCTCGCCAGCAAGTGGCACTCAAGCGCTGGAAGGGATGTCTCTATCCACGTCTATCGATCCTCGGGCCCCGCATACACCACGCCAGATACACAATCGCCATGCAAATGCAATATAGATAGCTGCTGCCCCCCGACTACAGTACTCCCCAGTTACTCAGTATCTAGCAGCATGGCAACACTAACCCCCGACGAGAAACGCCCTCGGGTCTCGGATTCCCCTACCGAACTGATCCCGGGCCTTCAGGATCCGACATCCGATCACGACGAAGCAGCAGCAGCAGCAGCCGCCGAAGAAGAAGTCTATTCGATCTACACCGGCACAGCCAGAAACCTAATCGTCATGACGGCCTCCGTGGCCGGGTTCTTTTCCCCGCTATCGGCGAACATTTATCTGCCTGCTCTCGACACTCTGGCCGATGAGCTTCATGTCAGCGATACTATGATTAATCTAACGATCACAACCTACATGGTATGTGTGTGTCACATATCAGAAACCACGACAAATTAACCATAAAATAGATCTTCCAAGGCCTAGCACCCGCCATCTTCGGCGGTCTAGCTGACACCGCTGGGCGACGGCCCGCGTATATCCTGTGTTTTACTATCTATATCGCTGCTAATATTGGTCTTGCCTTGCAGCGGAACTATGCCGCCTTGCTCGTGCTCCGCTGTCTGCAAAGTACCGGGAGCAGTAGTACTATTGCCATTGCTAACGCTATCGTCGCTGATATTGTCACGCCCGCTGAACGCGGTCTCTATATCGGATACGGATCAGCAGGGAGTGTTTTTGGACCGTCACTTGGACCGATTATCGGCGGGCTCTTGACTCAGTTTCTCGGGTGGCCTTCTATTTTCTGGTTTCTGGTTATCTTCGCTGCTGTGTTCTTCCTCCCTTTACTTTTTTTTCTCCCCGAAACGGCGCGTAAGGTGGTAGGGAATGGCTCACATCCGGCGCCACCATGGAATCTATCGTTTCTGCAGCTCTGCAAGCGCTCCAAATCCACCACCCCCGGCACCACGACAGTGCAAAACCGAATCACATTCCCCAACCCCCTCAAAACGCTCATCATCCTCTCCGACAAAGAAGTCTTCCTCATACTGCTAGGAAACAGCCTCGCCTTTGCAGGCTACTACGCCGCCTCAACGAGCATAACCTCCCAATTCAGCGCCATCTACCACTTCAACGAGGTACAGATCGGACTATGCTTCATCCCCGTCGGCGTCGGCAGTCTGATCGCCGCATATACACAAGGTCAAATCGCGAACTGGAATTACCGTCGTCATGCCCGTCGCTCCGGAATGTCTATCTCCACAACCCGGGGGCAAAATATGGATGAGTTTCCGCTCGAGCGGGCGAGAACGGAAGTGATTCTTCCGCTTATACTTATCGAAGGGCTCGCATTGATTGCCTACGGCTGGGTATTGCACTATGAGACCAATCTGGCGGGCCCGTTGATCCTGTTGTTATGTATTGGGTATACGTCCGGTGCGACGATGAATATCATGAGTGTGCTGATGGTGGATATTTATCCCGAGAGTCCGGCAACGGCGACGGGGGCGAATAATCTCACGCGGTGTTGGTTGGGGGCTGTGGCGACGGGGGTTATTGTACCGATGATTGAGGGGATGGGGAGGGGGTGGGCATTTACGGTGATTGGGTTTTTGTGCTTTTTGTGTGGGCCGGTGATTGGTGTGGTTTGGGGGTGGGGACATGCCTGGAGGAGGGAGAGGCATCGAAGGGAGAAGGAGAGGAATTGAGTGGGTTGTTGGTAGATAGATTGATTGATTAGATGAATAGAGTTGTTTTGAGTTTGGGGGAGTTGACAGTTGGGTGTTTCTAGTGAAGTCTTGTTAGTCGAGGTTTTATACTGGGGGTATCTTGAGATACCGGTAGAGCTTATCCCTCGATGAAGGTAAGACGATAATTGGTTTTTCATGGGTGGTGCTGTTACGCCTTCGCTTTCATTTGCGATGCGTAACAACTGAGTCAGGTAAACGTTGACAGCAATCAGATGAAAGATCCTCACTATCCACCATGCGACCTATTTTAACCTCTCATCAGCAGGGTACTACTGCACTATGATCCGTAGACAGATGACAACCATCCTGCTCTATCGTAAACAAGCTCTTACCCACCTGGACAGAAAATCCCACCTTCGGTCCGAGACCAGACAACCTAAGCGGACACTCAATATAGTATGGCCTGTTTCCTTTGGTCGAGTAGCCCGTAGAACAGGATAGAAAGGAGACTAGTTATTCTGTTCCAAGGTGTCTGTCAGCATGAGTCAGGTTACACTAAGTATTTGGTCAGGGGAAATATTGGGGGCTGACTGGAAAAAACTTATCACGATGCCGTCTGGTAGGTAAGATTGATCAGAAAGGCATGGATTCGGCCGGGAATGGAGCCACATGTGCTAGTGATGTTGGGTATTCGTTTCATCCTTTCGAGAGGCTTGGGTGATGACATGCCATGGTATCTTCGAGGCGTTGAAGGGCTGGGTTGTGAGAGCCTAGAGGTCGTAGTGAAATGAGATGAGGCGCAGAGGAGGTCGTTCTAAAATTGTCTGTCAGTGGATGGGAGGGCCATGGTATCTCCGAGGTGGACGTATCGTTGTTGACTGTTCAGATGCTATTGATTGCTAGAAACACGGTCCGAGAGAAGGGAGGATGGTGGCGGTGTTGCTGAGTGGGGGCGGGGAAGTCTTAACACCGACGCGAACGGCTCGAAACCAGCACTCGCTCTTGGGGCCGATGGGGCCAAACGACCTTTAGCGCAGCGATCGCCAGGGGACAACTTGTTTTCAGTTAGTCGGTGGTGCCCCGCGAGGCTGTTGCTGAGATCGAACTGACCATACAACGTATCCAACATGCTGCGTGTTGGTTCTATCCTGAGGTCTTTGCCTCTTCTGTTGACTCTTCGGTTTGACAGCCGCACAACTCCAGGTGTCATTGAGGCTTGATACTAATGTTGCCTTTGAATAGATACGATGGAGCAATCACGGACAAACCATCACCAGGCTGATTATCAGGAATCACCAACATAACCACGCGTCACGAACCTGGGATGCATTTTTTCGCCCCAAGGAGTATGAAGGACCCCCGGCCCACTGTTGGTCATCTACCATTGGGTCTATCGGATCCTGTCCAGATCTGCCATCGAGGTCAAGCATGGGGCTGAGACCCTGCCAGCGTTTCAGATGCTTCTGGCAGCATGCCATCGGATCATATAAGGAGGTCGATCGCCAACCACTCCATCATCCAGTATCCCGAACACGGACAATGCCGGTCACGATCAGGAGAACGTTGTTGCTGGCCCTGTGGGCCGGCAGCCTCGTCTCTGGCTCCTGGGGAGCCGATCCAGTCTCTACCGATATCGTATCTGCCCCTACCACCACCCCTGCGCCGGTGGTAGATTACTTCGTTGATACTGAACCTGAACCTGTCGATGACACCGAGCCTGTGGACGAGCATGTGCATCTCGCTGGCCGAAAGCACAAGAGCTCCAAGAGTGGCAGTCGCAGCAGCAAGAAGAGCTCGAGCAAGAAGTCCAAGACGAGCACGAAGACCACCAAGAAGACCACCTCCACCAAGGAGACGACGCATACTACTACGTCGGAGCATACCACCTCCACGAAAGAGGCTGAAAAGACCACCACCACCCATACCACGGCGTCTCATACCACATCCACCGAGGAAAAGTCTACCCCCACTACTCACACTACCTCGGCATCGAGCACGAGCGACAAGACCACCAGCACCCCGACCACAGAGTCTTATACCTCTCACAGCACCTCGACCAGCGAGAAGTCTACGACCACGCCTCATACTACGACCACACCGGTTGTCACAGCCAGTGGAGCCACACACACAAGCAGCACCTCCACAGAGTCTCAGAGCTCTACCCAGACCAGTGTGACCACGCCAGCCGAGTCGCATCATGTCTCCACCTCGACCAGTGAAGCAGCTACCCATTCTACTACTAGCAAGGAGGCCGAGCACTCGACCACCTCTCACGCTACACAGACATCTCAGTTAGTACCCGTCTTGCCTACTATAAGCACTCTACTAACGAGAATAGTACTTCGAGCGCAGCTCACCATGGGTCAACTACTGCGGGCGAGTTTCTGGAAACCTCGACTCAAGCCACAGGCACCTCAACTAGTCACACTGCGGCGGGATCTCATACTGCCATCGTTTCTCCTGTTACGGGTAGTGCCGAGGCACACACCACTGCAACCGAGTCTCATCACTTGACTGCTAGCACCGCTACAGGCAGTGCGGAGGTGAAGCACTCTACCGGCACTGAATCCCACCATCTCACCGGATCCCACAGTGCTACCGGCACTGAGTCCCATCACTTGACTGGATCCCATACTGCTACCGGTAGTGCTGAGCTTCACACTGGCACAGGATCTCATCACTTGACGGAGACCGGATCCCGCGCTCTTACCGGCTCCCATACTCTAACCGAATCTCACCATGTCACAACCACAGGATCCCACCATCTAACTACCGGCACCGAGTCCCACCACTTGACTGGCAGCAGTGGCCTCCACACTGGAACAGAGTCTCACCATCTCACCAGTACGGGATCCCACCACTTGACTGGCAGTAGTGGCATTCATACTGGCACGGAGTCTCACCAGCTCACGACCACTTCTGGATCCCACACTGTCGCAACCTCTACAGCTTCCCATAACGGCACCGCGGTTACTGAATCTCATCATGTTACAACTACGTCGGACCACCTCGCGAGCAGTACTGGTGTCATCAGAACGTCTACCCACGCTTTGTCGTCGTCTACTCATCTCATTCCTTCGGATGGTGCTGTTTCTACACCCGCCACCCCGACCAGCTCTGAAGCCGCCGAACCTACTGATGATGGTTCTGGAGATGATGGAGACGACTCTGGAGATTCCGGCGATGATTCCGGGGACGATTCTGGAGACTCGGGAGATGACACGGGTGACGATTCTGGAGATGATTCTGGAGATAATTCTAGCGATGATTCTGGAGATGATTCTGGAGATGATTCTGGAGATGATTCTGGAGATGATTCTGGAGATGATTCTGGAGATGATTCT